CTGCTGGGGCTGTACATGAGCAGCCATTACCCCCAATATGCCTTAGCGGTACCTTGAGGATCTACTAGTGTGCCTAGGGGGTTACTACATGCCACACGACGCTGCTGAGCATTGGATGCCCCTGGTACCAGGAAGTACTTATTATTCTCATTAACAGCGGTACAGACACCGTTGGCTGCTGTCTTGCACATGATTCCGGTGATTGACACTATACAACCACCCATTAATGAAGTATCCGTAGTACAGATGTACATAATGGTTATTCACAGTATTACTTTGACCCACTCACAACACACTCCATCATTGGTATCATATTTGTCTCTCCACAGTAGAACAGTAGTGCTTTGTGGTGCCCTGATCATCATTATCATGGCATCACAAGCACCAGAGGTACCCCCCAGGCAGTATCATCCTCACATTTTGTACATGTAACAGGACTGGTACCCTCTGCTTGATAGTTCCTTACAGCAGTACACTTGAAAGTACTGGCCTCCATTTGCACTTAGCACCCCTCGATGCCCCCATTGTTTGTGTCACTACAGAGAGCACTTCTCCGGGTCTATGACCTCACAGGAAGAACCCTGCCTTAGGCAGGCATTTCCTCAGCAGTTTGTCTAGCATGTGGCACAGTTGCCCGTGACAGGGGGTGCATGTTACTGACCACTCCGTACTTTGTATCCCTCCAGGCATTCTTGCAATTGGTTGCACTTCTGCTCTTTAGCAAGCTTCAGCCGCAATGCCTTTGTTCTTTGGTTCTGAATCCGACGCTGCGGGATCACTGCACAAACGACACACGTTGTCTTCGGTCATAAAGAGACCGTTATCAGCTCCTTGACACCCGGCGTGTTCTTGTCACACGAGGTCGAGGTTCCATCAAGGTCGTCTCGGGTCTTACTGTATCACAAGCTGTGCACTTCGGCTTCTTGGTAGTCGAATCAACTTCACACTGGGTACATGCTGATCTATCGTGTTGCAGTCCCTACAAGTTCCGACTCTGGGTCAGCATAAGTGTTTCCAGTGCACTCATTACTATTCACGCATGCATTATCCTTCAGGAACGTATTTCCTTACAAGAGGTACACTGGGTCGCCGACGTCTCACAGGTCAGGCAAGAGTCCTTGCACTTCTCACATGCGCCGTAACTATTTGAAGTACCCTCTTGCATGCAGTACACGTGGCAGCCCTGTTACTGTCTGGCGCGTGCATGTGGCGCAGTCTCCACTCCTTAATCCATTCGCTCCTGTGGCATCATGACAGAGTATGCACTCCCCACCAGGGGTCACCTTGTCTGCCCATTCTGGAATATGTACTGACTTCTGTTTACAAGCAGTGCACAGTCCTCCCTCAGCCTTTGTGCATATCTCACTCCACTATCATACTATCACCCTCTATCACACCATTGTACAGCATTCACTACCCAAGTCACGCCTTCCCCTGCACACGAACCACCAGCAGAGGAAGCCCACGAGGCCCCCACGACGAGCGACCACAGCCACGAGACCCCACGCGATGGAGACCCGCATTGGAGAGCCCGCCCCTGGTGTGGTACTTCATAGACACACAGGAGGTCCCACTGCTGTCTAGACTGTACTCCCCAATACGATACCACTTACCGCCTACACTTCAACGCTCATCTCGAACCACACAAGCATACTTGATTCGCTCCGATCGCCCTAGCGACGAAGACGGACCTTCTAATCGTCGATACAACACCCTAACACACCTCGTTGTTACTTGACCTCAATACGTGTCACATACATACAGGTGACAATGATCGCAGGCACAAGATGCATAGCCCGACCCCTGCACTTCAGAATGCATATGCGGGGTCCCCCGCCAAACATGACGGCGCCACTCCCACCACAGCTGCTGCAGAAACATATATAATCTCGATAGATAAGGGCTATCAAACCTGAGACGTCGGAGAGTCCGCAATCGGAAGAAAGAACGGAAGGCCTGACGCGTAAGAGTAGCAAATGCGCATCAATCCGTGAGAGAACCTTCGTGCGCGCCACGAGAAGCCCAGTAGAGCTCTTACAATAGCCAAACGCCTCACAGGAGATGACTATTGAACCTGATAACATAATGAGCGATTAGTGAGCACACCACAGCGGGACCATATGACGAGCCAGAACCATGACACTCAGAAAATTCAAGCAAAGTTGTTTCCTTAGTAGATAGGTGCTACTATTGTTCGTCAACCTGCAGAGTTAACACTACAGCGGTCCAGATGGATACAGCAGCCAGTTTTGAGACAGTGACAAGTGTCGTGGATCTTTCATCCGAACTTCTAGATTATCCAATATGAATGTCACTGAGTCGTCAAACCCTAACGAATAAATAACCGAACATAACTCACCTACGGGACCAGCAATAATGCAGTGTAAGCAAACGCGCATCATCCTCTCTTCTGCTGAGCAGCAGAGTCCCCGGGAATCTTGAAGTAGCGCCCGACCGGTGTGGTGCAGAACCCACTTGGAGCCGCAGAGCACATGAGGTTGCCAGGAGCCTTCGACACATCATAGCAACCACCCATATAGAGGAAGTAGTTGTTGGTGCACCGCGTACATACGCCATCGGCGCAGGTATTACCTGCAAGTGCATTGGTGCACTTCCCATTAATAGGGCCATAGCCGGCGCCAACACACTTTGAACAGTAAGAGAGCATGCTGCCGTCGTTGCCGACCACGATGGCGTCGCAGGCCCCTGCTGTCCCTCCACATGCAGTCTCATCTTCACAGGTCTTTGTACATGTGAGGTCGCTAGGTTCTCCGCTGGGTCTGTAGTTGGGCTTACATTCAGTGCATTTGAGGGACCCCACGCCGCCTGTGCACTCGGCACAGCCTGGAATCCCACTTGTCTCGTCATCACAGAGAACGCATGTCTTAGGCGGGCCATCCTTAAGGAAGTACCCCGGCATGCATCTTGTACATGTGTTGATTTGACCCGCTGTTCCGCACTCTGCGCAGTTTCCTGTGCAGGCCTCGCAGGCGTTTCCGTTGACTTTATACCCGTCGACACAAGCCTCGCAGGTGCCTTTTGCGGTGCACAGCTTGCAGTTCTGGACTCCGCCCTTACCATTGTCGCCGCACTGCACGCACTTCGAGGCGTCGTAGAAGTGCGTCTTGCCCACTTTGCACTCGGCCTCATCAACACAGGTCGTTGTCCCATCCAGCTCGTCTCTGACCGTCTTACTACCGCAGTCGGTGCACTTCGGCTTTCCCGTGGCGTCGTCGTATGCACACGCGGTGCATCCTTGTATCTCACTGCAGGCCTTACAGGTCCAGGTCTTCTTGTCCGCATAGTTACCATTGTCACATCCACCAGCATCTACACAAGTGTTACCATCCTTCAGGTACTTCCCCTCAACGCAGGCGGTACACTGAGTCGGAGTATCAGCTGAGCAAGCAGAGCAGCCGTCTCCGCACTTCACACATGCACTGTCCTTCGTAACGAACCCTGCTTGACACTCTGTACACGTGGCCGGTCCGCTAGTGCCCGTGTGGGAGCATTCTGAGCATCCAGCGACTCCCATGACCCCGTTTCTATCTGTCGTATCAGAGCACAGTATGCACTCACTACCCTTCTCTGGTGTTGCAGCCGGGTTCTTGAACAGGCCGTTATCTGCCTTACAAGCAGTGCACAGTCCTCCCTCAGCCTTTGTGCATATCTCACTCCACTATCATACTATCACCCTCTATCACACATTGTACAGCATTCACTACCCAAGTCACGCCTTCCCCCTGCACACGAACCACCAGCAGAGGAAGCCCACGAGGCCCCCCACGACAGCGATGACAGCCACGGAGATCCCTGCTATGGCACCAGTACTGAGGCCGCTTCTGTTGCCCCCGCTGGGCTTGGTGGACACGCACGCCTCACCCTCCAGCCTGTAGTCGTCCCCACACTGGCCGCACTTGTTCTCCTCGCTGCACCTGACGCACCCGTCGATATTGCAGGCGATGCACTTCGTTCCGTCTGTGTTCGGCCTCTGGTCTTTACTGGTACAGGCCTCGCACTTATCGCCTGCTCCACAGTGCGAGCATCCGTCAACGGTACATGCGAAGCACCCGCTCCCAGCCAGGTTGGGCTTGTTGTTGTTGGTACACGCTGTACACACAGCAGCAGTCATACCAGTCTCAGATGGAGCTGCTGGGGCCGTACATGCCGAACAGCCATCTACCCCCACATATGCCTTAGAGGTATCACCAGTGCCTACTAGTGTGCCAAGGGAGTTGCTACATGCCAATACAGACTGATTCTGATTGGTTGCCCCAGGGACTATGAAGTACCTATTGTTGGCATTAACAGCAGTACAGACACCGTTGGCTGCTGTCTTGCACATATGTTGTCCAGGTACTGTATCAACCTTGTAACAACCTCCCATATACAAGAAGTAGTTGTTAGTGCATTGTGTACATACACCTTGATCACATTGATTATTTGCTTTAGCACTATTACACTTCCCATCTATAGGATACGTATTAGCTTCTCCACAGTATGAGCAATAATGATGCTCTACACCCTTATCATCAATCACTATTGCATCGCAGGCACCAGAAGTTCCTCCACAGGCAGTATCATCTTCACAGATCTTGGTGCATGTGACAGAGCCAGTACTGCCCTCCTTGCGATAGTTAGGCTTACAGTCAGTGCACTTGAAAGCACCGTTGTTAGAGCAGACACTGCAGCCTTCGCGACCCTTATCGTCTACGCTATCGCATGGGACGCACTTCTTCCCCTGTTGATCTGTAGTAGTTACTAAGAAGTATCCAGTCTTGCAGGTTTCACACTTATTTGGATCACCAGCAACAGAGCATGTGGCACAGTTATCACCACACTTGTCTGTACATGTACTAGTACCACTATCAAAGAAGTATCCATCGAGACAGGCTGAGCAGGTTGGATTGTCACTTCCTGTTTTCGTACATGTCTTGCAGTTGGCCTTTCCTTCGTTACCAAGAGTTGAATCTGTCACATCACTACAAAGAGCACACGTTTTGTCCTCCTTCATAAATAAGGCCTCGTCAGCGCCCTCGCATCCTTCAAGCGTCTTCGCCACGCAGGTCGATGTCCCGTCGAGGGCCGTCCTGGGGGTCTTATTGGTCCCGCAGTTAGTGCACTTCGGCTTCCCCGTGGCCTTGTCGAAGGAGCATGCCGTGCACTCTGCGTGTATCGTACTACATGCCTTGCATGTTCCCGACTCCGGGTCAGCATAAGTGTTTCCATCGCATCCAGTATCTTGTACACATTGATTACTCTTCAGGTACTTCCCCTCTGGGCACGATGTACAATGATTCTGACCACTTCCATCGCAGGTCAGACAAGCTTCATTACATTTGACACATGTCTGAGAGTTCTTGTAGTATCCATCTTGGCACTCTGTACACGTGGCAGGTCCTGGACTACTGTCTGACTTGGTACACTGTGCGCAGTTAGCCACCCCTGTATATCCATCTGCCCCATTGACATCATGACAGAGGATGCACTCACTACCAGGCTTCTGAGGTGTAACTGGGTTCTTGAACAGGCCGTTATCTGCTTTACAAGCAGTGCACACTCCTCCCTCAGCCTTTGTGCATATCACACTCCACTATCACTATCACCCATTATCACCCACTATCACCTTCTATCACACATTGTACAGCATTCACTACCTAAGTCACGCCTTCCCTCTACATATGAACCACCAGCAGAGGAAGCCCACGAGGCCCCCCACGACAACGACCACAGCCACGGAGATGCCCGCGATGGCCCCCGTGGAGAGCCCGCTCTTGTTGACGCTTCCGCCGGTGTTGTCGCCAGTGCCGTCGCCCATCACGAAGCACATGAACGCACCGGTGGATGACACCGTGCACTGCCTGCACCCAGCGAGCCCCTCAGAGCACGGATTACACTTTGTCCCAGCACTCTGCGGTTTGTAATATCCAGTGCTGCATGTAGCACAGGCGTTAGCGTCGTTAGCAGCCGTGCATGTCTCGCAGCTAAGATGGCACCTTTTATTGGAACAATCGCCATTATCAGCCGTTAGACCACTGGCACATTTTGTACATTTTCCTCCCTGCACTGTAGTACACACTTGCTTGCCAGGCTGTCTATCTGTCTGATAGCAACCGCCATCTTTGAGGAAGTAGTTATTTTCACATTGAGTGCATGCTCCATTACTCACCGTAGTGCAAAATCGTGTTCGCGTATTGGCCGCACAGTTGCCATCCAGTGGTGCCTGTTGAGTGTTCTTGCACTTTGAGCAGTATGCAGTTCCTCCTATCTGAGCCCCACACTCTGCGCATCCATCGTTTGTAGAACTCACGCTGCACTGGTTCATGCACGTGCCCCCATTGGCAGGAGTATCAGCATCTGTATACTGAAGCATCCTCCCAGCAGGACAAGCCGTACACTTATCAGCGCCCTCACCCTTGCACTCTACGCACGCATCGTTGCACTTCTTGCACTTTCTGTCAGTGTCATTTCCGTAGTAGCCCTTGAGGGTCGTGCAGTCAGATACGCATTGACTGGTTGGGGTGAGGTAGTACTCAGACAGACACTTTGTACAGACCTCCTTATCGGCACCTTCACTGGTGCACTCCAAACAGTGCTCTGTGTTACAGTTACTGATTGGTTGGCATTCAGTCGATTCAGTATTAGGTTGGAGTCCTTCGTTGCACTCGCACACTTGGCTATCCTGTCCGGTGGCCTTGGGGGTAGAGTTAGCAGGGCAACTAGCAACGCACGACTTTCTGTTGAGACCAAAGATGGTCTTCGTATCAGTCGTACACGTCTTACAAACCACTCCGTTGGCGCCTTTCTCACAAGTGGTGCAGTCAGTTGTTCCAGCCGACACACATGTATTGCACTCCTTTGCTTCTTCATCAACGTAGTGGGTTGCCGGACAACCAGCTGTGTCAACGCACGTGCCGGTTGTGGACTCGCCATCCTTCTTCAGGTACTTCTTGGTCCCAGACGTTTTACACAGGCTGCACTTCTGTTGCTCCTTGGCCACGCACACAGCGCAATTATCATCTGCACACGCGGTGCACTTCTTCTCGGTAGCGTCGATGAAGAAGCCCTCCTCATTAGTACACGCCTCTGCGCTAACACAGCTGGGTGCATCGCCAGCTTTAAAGTAGAATCCATCAACACACTCCCCACATATATTGTCCACCACACAGCTCTTGCAATCACCCACAGAGCATGTCACACACCCACTGCCGTCCTTGTTGGGCACCTTACCACTGTCACAGGAGGTACACACAGCGGCAGTCATACCACCATCAGACAGAGCTGTTGGGGCCGTGCATGCTGAGCAGTTGAGTACCCCAACGTATGCCTTAGCATTGTCTTGAGTACCTATTAGTGTGCCTAATGGGTTACCACATGCTAGTACAGACTGCTGAGCATTGGTTGCCTCTGGGACTACGAAGTATCTATTGTTGGCCGCTTCTGTGCATATCCCAGTATTACCTGCTGTCTTGCACATATGACTACCTGGTTCTTGACCAACCTTGTAACAGCCATTCATGTATAAGAAGTACCCTTGAGCACACTGTGTACATGTATGACTGTTACAAGTATTACCTTTCTTATCAGTAGCACAGATGCCATCAATTGGTACCTTAGTACTCTCCCCACAGTATGAGCAATAGTGAAGCTCCTTTCCATCAGCACCGATCACTATGGCATCACAAGAGCCAGCTGTCCCCCCACAAGCAGTCTCATCCTCGCAGGTCTTCTCTGTGCATGTATAGTTGTCTGAGGTTCCAACGGGCTTCCTGTTAGGCTTGCACTTTGTACACTTGAGGGATCCTGCAGGACCAGTGCACTCAGCACATCCATCGATGCCCTCCTGTGCATTATCACAAGGAAGGCACTCACCAGTAGGACCACTGCCTTTCATGAAGAATCCAGGCTTGCATTTAGTACACTGATTATTGCCAGCTTGAGTGCAGGTGGCGCAATTCTCGCCACAGACTGTGCATGTAGCGGTACCACTACCACTATTTGCGCTATTGTAGTATCCGTCGAGGCATGTCTTGCACTGAGGATTTGTACCAGAATTAGCTTTAGAGCATGTGCTACAACCAAGAACACCTGTATTGCCAGGGGTTGAATCTACATTATTACTGCAGAGAATGCACTTTTTGTTCGGTTCAGTTAGAAAGTTCGGACCATCGTTCCCGTTTTGGGTACAAGCCCCCTCAGCAATGCAGGTGGTCGTCCCGTCGGCCTCTTCTTTGACTATCTTACCAGTACATGTCAGGCACTTCGGCTTCTGCAGCGTCGTATCATACTCACATGTGTCGCATCCATCTATCCCCACTTCTTGAGCGTTACAAGCTGTGCACTTGCCGGTGCTTGGGTCGGGGTACTTATTTCCAGTGCATTGACCAGCCTCTACGCAAGTGTTAGTATCAGTCTTCAGGAACGTATTTCCCTTACAAGAGGTACAGTGGGTCGCCTCAGTCTCACAGGTGGCACAGTTCCCTTGGCACTTCTCACATGTCTGAGCGTTCTTATAGTATCCATCTCTGCAGGTATCACACGTGGCCGCTCCTGGACTACCACTTGGTGCCGTACATGTGGCGCAGTTAGCCACCCCTGTATATCCATCTGCCCCATTGACATCATGACAGAGGATGCACTCGCTACCCTTCTCTGGTGTTGCAGCCGGGTTCTTGAACAGGCCGTTATCTGCCTTACAAGCAGTGCACACTCCACTACTGGCCTTTGTGCATATCACACTCCACTATCACCCTCTATCACCCATTATCACACACTATCACACATTGTATAGCATTCACTACCTGAGTCATGCCTTCCCTCTACATATGAACCACCAGCAGAGGAAGCCCACGAGGCCCCCCACGACGACGACCACAGCGACGGAGATCCCCGCGATGGCCCCCGTGGAGAGCCCGCTCCTGTTGGTGCCAGAGGACACACACATGCCATCCCTCGGGACATAGCCCTCCTCGCACTCCCCGCAGACGCCCTCTGCGCTGCACCGCATGCACCTCTCTATGTCACAGACAATGCACTGGGTGCCGTCCAGGCTGGGTCTCTGGTCTTTATTGGTACATGCCTCACACTTGTTGTCTGCGCTGCAGTGAGAGCAGCCCTGGGCCGGACACACATAGCAGGTGCTTCCAGCCATGTTGGGCTTCTTATTGTCCTCAGCACACACCTCGCACATCCCGTCGATGGCGCAGCTCTTGCACCCGCCGACCGCACACAGGGTGCACCCGCTGCCATCCTTGTTGGGCTTCTTCGTCTTGTCGCACGCACTACAGACCGCCGCGGCCATCGCATTGGCGGCTGGCGCCTGCGGGGCCGCGCACGCCGTGCAGTCTAGCACGCCGACGTACGCCTTGTCGCCCGCGGTCGCTCCCACAGGGTTGCCACAGGCAAGCACGGACTGCTGAGCAGCAGAGTCCCCAGGAATCTTGAAGTAGCGCCCGACCGGTGTGGTGCAGAACCCACTTGGAGCCGCAGAGCACATGAGGTTGCCAGGAGCCTTCGACACATCATAGCAACCACCCATATAGAGGAAGTAGTTGTTGGTGCACCGCGTACATACGCCATCGGCGCAGGTATTACCTGCAAGTGCATTGGTGCACTTCCCATTAATAGGGCCATAGCCGGCGCCAACACACTTTGAACAGTAAGAGAGCATGCTGCCGTCGTTGCCGACCACGATGGCGTCGCAGGCCCCTGCTGTCCCCCCGCATGCAGTCTCATCTTCACAGGTCTTTGTACACGTATAGTCATCCCCTGCTCCTCCATTGGACTGCTTCTTATAGTTAGGCTTACATTCAGTGCACTTAAATCCACCGTTGCTAGAACATAGACTGCACCCTTCGCGGCCACCATCTGGTGTACTGTCGCATGCAGCACACTTCGTTTCACCCTCGGTTTTTAGGAAGTACCCAGGAAGGCACTCAGTACAAGTTGACACATCAGCTGACGTGCAGGTGGCACAGTTGGAGGCACAAGCCGAACAAGTCTTTGATGACTGTTCAAAGAAGTATCCATCCAAACAACTTGTGCATTCTGGTTTCTGACTTTGCTGCTTAGTACATGTCTTACACCCGGCAATCCCCTTATCGTTTGCGCCAGCGCCAGGGGACGCATCGCCGCAAAGGGCGCATGTGGTATCGTCCTTCATAAATAAGGCCCCGTCAGCGCCCTTGCACCCGTCAAGCGTTTTATCGACGCAGGTCGAGGTCCCATCAAGGGTCGTCCTGGGGGTCTTCTGACTACCGCAGGCTGTGCACTGAGGCTTCCCCGTGGCCTTGTCGAAGGAGCATTCTGTGCAATCAGTTATTGTACTACATGCCTTGCACTTCCCCGACTCTGGGTCAGGATAAACGGTGTTTGTGCATTCTCCTTCTGCCACACAGCTATTGCCGTCCTTCAGATAGAAGCCCGCTTTACAAGAGGTACACTGGGTCGCCGATGTCTCACAAGTGGCGCAGTTCCCCTGGCATTGTACACATGCGCCTTTAGCATCTTTATAATATCCATCTTGGCATTCTGTACACGTGGCAGCCCCCTTGTTACTGTCTGACTTGGTACACTGTGCGCAGTTCTCTACTCCCGTATATCCATCTGCTCCCTTGATATCAGAGCACAGGATGCACTCACTACCAGGCTTCGGTGCTGTAGCCGGGTTCTTGAACAGGCCGTTATCTGTCTTACAAGTAGTACACACTCCATCACTGGCCTTTGTACATATCTCACTGCCAGGATCTTGTCCTACCTTGTAGCACCCTCCCATGAAGAGGAAGTACCCGTCGCCGCACTTCCCGCAGGTGGTTGCCGTCTTGTCGAGGGTAGCCCCGTCTTCCTCGGTGCACCCGGCTGCCGCGGCCTGGGGGGAGCCGGGGGGCCAGCAGAAGCCGTCGACCGGGACGCCCCCGGCCCTGCACTGGGTGCAAATCTCGGTGGCCCCGACCGTCTCGCACTTATTCTGTGCGCAGGTCGCTGTATGGTTCCCGTCTGGCTGGCAGGCCGCCATGAGCGCGCTCGCCACGAACAGGGGTATCAGTTGGAACATTAGAGGGTCCCCTGCTGTGGCCTCTACCCCGTCTGTGGCTACCCAGCACGGCACACGGGGGGAGCGCTGTTCCACCCCTGCCTTGGAGGCCCCTGTCTCGACTCGGCCCACAGCACCAGAGCGTGGTGGTCTTCCACTCTTGGGCGCCGCACAGCCCGTCTCCGTGCCCAAGCGGCTCACCCCAGGCACTCATACGACGGAGACCCCCGCGGCAGTGCTACCGGCAGGCGGGCTGTGCTGATGTCCGGCCCGGCGCAGAGCTCAGAGGGCTCAGAAGGTCATGGCTCCTTTGGTGTCTGCTATGTCATTCTCCTTGCTCGGTTGACATGCGCGCTGCTAAGAGGGCCCTCATTCACTCGAGCTCATGCCCCCCTGTGGTGACTCTGCTCGACCATCAGCGAGGGTCCCGGTCCTCCTCCCAATAGGCCGGCCTCAGGTCCCCCGTGATCTGCCAGACCGGGCAGAGCGATCGCGGCGCCCATCAGAGCCTGAGCCGACGGGGCCCGCAGTGCAGTGCGCCTGGACCCACGGAGATCGTTCACCCGCCCAGTGGGCCACAGCTTCCCCTGCCCTGCTGACAGTCCTCCAGCGAGGGGCATGTCGTTGTGGGGCAGTCTTCTCGTCCTGCCGTGCACACAGGGCCCAACCGGTGGCCGTCGGACAGTCCCGATGGCATGCCTGAAGCCCCGCCACGGCAAGAGGGCAGCACACGGGGCGGCCCCTACGCTGCTACAGATTGCAATGGCAGCAGAGACCCCCTGCCCGAGAGGCCCGTGCATTGGCTGTGGCGGCCATCCACTCCATGCGGGCCCGGTGCGGCGCTCCTGGAGAGCCCTTGCCTCCGGTGGTGCTGACAGGGCTCCCGAGGTACTAAGGCGTCAGACGAGGGACGGGGCCGAGCAGGACTCCCGGCCCGCATGCAGATGTCTCTGCTGTCTGCCCGGTCCTGTAGAGACCCGAGCCACCAGACATCTACATCTCGGATGGCGGTGCTTCGGGCTACCTAAGACGACCCTCCAGTCGCTAGACTCCCTCTGAGTCTAAATCGTTGTCTGCAAGGTGAATAGCAACTACATAGAATATTGGCAGCTGTAGAGTACTTAGCTGTTGGCGCAATGCTTTATGATACATGTTGTGTAGTTGCTAGTTGTCTGCGCACGGTAGCTATTCCTGTATGCCTCACTCTGTAATGGGTGAGATGATAAAAGTAGGAGAAACTGGAAGGTAGTTGTGCAGGTAGTTTGGAGACTTCATTCTAGGAAGCGTCTACATGCTCCAAAGAAGCTGTGCAGACGTTGAAGCAAAGTGGGAGCGCTCTCTTCTATCACACTCTAGAGGGATGCGCCCCGTGAAAGATAGCTCTTCTGAAGTCACGGAATCTTTGCTCTGTGACTACATTCTCGCGCCTGCAACCCTCATTTTCATCTGAAGGCACGTTAGCCGTTAGCTTCTCCAGGCTTGCTCATTGGCTTTCTGAAAAAGGCATGAAAGGTGAGCTCTTCTGCTACTAAACTATGCTACATAAGTACCAGAGCAAAGGTGCAGCAATAACTGGGTCATAGCTTGAATTTCACTTCGAGGATAGAATTCAAGAACGGTAATGTGGATCGAAGTAAAGCTCTAGTTACGTACGCGACATCCACATCTTATACAAGCATCGATGGTGCAGTAATAGCGTAGTCACGCACTAAATGTGAATATTTACTACACTGTGTACTCAATAACGTGTGTCTCGTATTTTGGGGAGGAGTGCTCCCCGTGACTGGGGATTCTTGGGGATACCATATTTAGGAGGGTTTAGAAACATATTATTGCCACCAACATTCATTACTGTCAGGCTATTACCCCTGGACGGTGCTTCTCGAACCTTCGCTGCTCGAGACCCTGACCGGGACGCAGGAAGAAACGGAAGTCCACTGTCTTCAACATTCAGCGCATAGTGGGACTGTCTGGTTGCATTTGAGATAGCTCGCGCTTGTGCAGCAGCTGGGGACAGGGATTGCTGGACAGGATAATGATAGTTAACAGTGTTGTGCACGCTGTGTGCAGGATAGTTTGTATGATGCTGACCAAAATTAGACATGACCATAGGTCCAGTAATATTTGACACGCCCATAGTCGTACCTGATGGTCCTATTGTATGATAGGTGGAGTGACTGCTGCCAGGCTTCCCAGAAGAAGTTGGTACCGTAGTTGCTGGATACCCGATGCCTAAGCTGCTGGCCCCAATATTCTGCCCTGACTGTGCGGTGGGATTAATGGAATGGGATGAAGTAGTGTGTAGGTTGTGTTGAAGATTTTGCTGAAGTTGTGTGCTGCTTATGTCTCCTGACAATGTGTTTGATGAGTACTGGGGCTCCTTAACAAGGGGACGAATACCCATGTCTTCCATGCACTTCATTTCAAGCTGAAGCGCTCGCTGACGTACAGAATCAAAAAACTCGTGATCTAGACACTGTGTTGCGCTCGGCCTTTCCGCAGGGTCCATCTTCAACATCATTTTGAGAAGAGAGATTGCTTGCTTGTCTTTTATTTTTCCTGTAAGCTTCTTCTCCAGTCCCTCGGGCCGCGAGGTAGGAAACTCCACGCCGATGAATTTGGGATTTCGCAAAAACTTTTCCATCTGCTTCCGAGTAAGGTTTCCGAGTACACGCTGAATCAAGTACAGCTGATCCACGTCACTGTCCCCGGCAAAGAGAGGCTCTGATGTGATCATTTCTGATATTATGAGGGCCGCCGCCCATATATCAACTGTTTGGTTATAGTCAGTAGCGTTCAGTAAGAGCTCCGGAGAGCGGTACCATCTAGTGGCAACATAGTCTGTCAAATTAGACTGAGGAAAATTCCCAGCAGCTCCAGCCGTTTGGGCACCGTTTATATGGCGCGCAAAGCCAAAATCACAGAGCTTTAATGTCCACTCACCATGCTTCTTGACTAGAAGAAGATTTTCCGGCTTCAAATCTCTGTGACATATCTCCATGAACTCCCACAAAAATTCGACACCACGAAGCATCTGAAAGGTTAGAAGCTTAACAGTTTCTATTGGAATCCCGCCAGGACTGTCTTCTATCAATTCTAAGAGGGTTTTCTCGCAATATTCAAAGACTAAATAGAGCCGTTGCTTGCGCTTGAAAGCCTCTTTGAGACATACTATATGAGGATGCTGCGCGTTTTTCAAGATCTTGACCTCCCGGAGTGTAGTCTTCTTGAAAGTAGAGTCTTCTGGGTCATCCGTATCTTTGAATTTCTTAATGGCAACCAGCTCGTTTGTCTCCTTATTCCTGCACTTTAAAACGACTCCATATGCTCCTTCCCCAGAGACGCCTAGGATCTCGTACTTGTTCATATATCTCTTTTGCTTTTTAAATTCCAGGTTTTTGGGACCGAGGGTTCCCGTTAAGGGTTTACTTAGAAGCAAGCCGAATACAGGATTTTAGAGACCACACCGCAACTCAGTCTTTTCTTTGATCCTTGGCTGGCTTTTTCTCGCAGAGCATGATGGCGTTCCGGCATTCTTCGTAAGCTTCCGTAGACGCAAACTTGCTTTTATACTTCATAAGACGATTTAGAGGCGTTTGCCCGTTCAATGCAGGTATATTTCCCTCCAGAGGACCCAATGCTACAATCATGTCCCTGTTCGCCTTCGTGATGGATATCAGTAGACCCGTTTCGCCCTTGGCATCTGGAATTCTTGCTTCGTGCTTGGCAAGCAGGCGCACTGTATCCACATTAGCTCTCTCTACTGCCATATGAAGCGCTGAGCGACGCTTGCGAGCCGTCAATCCCGATTCGTGAAGGCAAAGAACTCTTGCTGCGTCATAGTTATTTAGTTGTGCTGCCTTCATGAGGGACGTATACCCATACATGTCTCTAGTCCGTACCTCGTACGGCACGAGCTCCTCTATACAATTAGTATGGTTCCCAATCGCCGCCATCATGATCGCAGTTTCATCTCTCATATTCCTTATGCGAACCTCTCTGATCAGTAATCTTACTCCGTCAAGGAATCCTGTTCTGGCTGCTATCATCAGCGCAGTTGTCCCCGGAGGAAACGATACTGTCTTATCGTCTATATCAAGGACCAAGGTCTTCTCTGTTGCGTGTCCAAGAAACGAGAGGTTTTCGTTGAGAGCCACAGAATCCTTGTTGTACACTGCATCCATGAGAGGCGTTTTCCCACCTAAGGCAACCGGCTTCTGATATCTTTTCGAGTCTGCAAGAAAGAGCTCATGCGAGTTAGCCAATGATGTCTTTTTCATAGGTGGCTCTTCACTAGTACTAGTAGTGCATCCATATCTACCAGAGTTTGCCGAGGAATCGCCATTAGTCAACTGAGTGGGAGTCTTTGGGGCCTCGCCTCCCAACATAGCATGCAGAGAGAGCGCCTGTATGTGGCTCTCCTGTGAATTATAATCGTCCTGGTCGCTCATGGAAAGATCTATGACAAAAGGGACCATGGAGAAGCAACTAGTGAAGCTGCGCACGTCATCGACACTTGTCAGCCCAAGCTCTACCGCAGTAAAAAGCGTTCCAGTGTCCTTCCTTAGGTCATATGGGGTTTTTCCGTGAAAGTAGCTGGATAAAACCTTAGACATTCGTTTCAAGGTCAATGTTGAACTTTGCTCACAAATTTCTGTTAGTAGCTCTACTTCCTTCTCCTGTATGCAGCATTGGATGCGTTTAACTAATTGTACAAAGGCATCAATGATGGAAATCTCTGTACACTGGGACCGAACGTATGGGATAAGAGGCAGATAGTCGCCCGGAACAACAATCTTTTCTGGGGATAGAAGAGGTGTACAGCCCTCTGAATGGATCAGCATGGACCGTTCCAATATCCCTAGCGCTAATGTAGCTCCCATACCTTCTAAAAATCTCACTTCACGCTTGATAAATAAGGCGGTAAGATCTTCAAGTGTGGGCATGTATCTCGAGGTTGAATTCGCCCACGCAACACGCGGAAGATCATATATAGCTTTATAGGGAAGTGCAGTTTGTAAAGGTAACTGTTTGTTAAAGTAGTAGGCAGAGCTTTGTACCGAATTACGCTCCAGCTCTGTCATCCACTTTTTAAAATGCAACACCCTCCATTCGCTGTCGATACCCACTGCTCTGCATACCTTCTTCTATACGTGCACGCGGTGAAGTGCAACTAACACGCAGAAATTGCCCAATCAGTCATGAATATCAAGAGATAAAATTGTATCTACAAATGTACCTTAAGCGGCGTAGTACCGCACTTGCTCTATTAAAGCGTGTCACTGTTAGATGGCGATCAACATATAGTAAGCTACTGCTAAACAAGAAGACAAAATGCGTATTTCAGAATGACGAGATATCGCGTAACGAGTTTTTTGAGAAAAGAAATGCTTGTTGTCCTCTTAGCCACAGCGACACTTGCGTCTTATGCAGATAGATATATCCTCAACCCAGGTGGGCATATGTTTGCAACATTCGCCTCGTATGACTTAACAATTGCTACCTCTTCTGATGTGATTAATGTCTTGCCAAGTGGTCTTTGCGAGGAGACGCCTAGCATAGTTCCACAAGAACAATCATATATTCAAAGCTTGATCCATGAGAGAGAAGCCCTCAGAACCAAAAAGGAGGTGCTTCAAAAATTCTCACACCAGGCTCCAAAGGCCATCATGGCAATGGATGCAATCCAGCAGAAAATAGATGAAATTGAATCTAAAATACAACAAGCTCCAATCCTCTATGATATAGTAGACACAGACTTAACGTCTTGAGGCCCATCACAATCGAAATCCCAGTGAATCAAGTAAATTATCAATTAGACCTGGTTCATATATTTATTTCTGGGCATTCCCTGCGTCACTCCCTGCAGGATTACTATCGTTAGCAGACACGCAGGGAGCAAGGTTCATAACCAAGACCTCATTTATAATACAAAACTCTCCCTTCTGTCCTGGATTGTCCAGGAGACGTGTTGTTGGAAGAGTTTCGCGGTGAATCTGGAAGATGTTATTACCCGCGGTACCAAAGGACAAGTCTGGAACGTCAAGGTACGAAGGCAGCTTGAGAGGGAGGCGTATTTGTGTGCTAGGAGCCGCAAGCCCAGAGTCTAGAGATAGCAAGTAGTATTCTTCACTCACGACATCCTGGGAAACAATCTCCTGCATGCCCCAGATCAAGGTGTTTCGCAATTTTTGATAAGATCTTGTGTCTTCACTTTTTTGAAAGAAAAACCGATTCCGATGACATCTCTGGGTGCCATGCTAAAGGAATTTGCTGAAAGGCACCCCATCATTGAGCCGACGTATGCTGAAATGCAGAAGCAGATTTCAGCCTTCCTCCCGCCAATCTCTCCGTCTGTGTCAGTTCCTTTGTTTTCAAACCCCGGACTTCTTTCCTCAAGAGACGACCTTCAGGACACCTTTTATCGCATCAGCCGCACAGCCACACTGCGAAAGGTCTACGAACCCCTTCAACTCTGTACGATAAATGACCTCATAACGATCGTGGATACGCACACGCCAGCTGATCAGTTGATTGACTACAGGATTTTCCGTAGGATTCTAGCTGATATCTATCAGCGGAGCCCGATTTACAAGAATATTCTGACAGTTAAGACGTTTCTTGCTTTACCGCGTACGAAGGACGTGGCGGCTTATCCTATAAAGACTCTCAAGTTCCACTCTGACGTTGTCAAGCTTTCTATTGTGCGCATTGTTTCTTCAGCCCAAACTCGAATTACGCTTACAACGTGCGATGTTGACGGAAAAGGCTTTCTTTTAGAATCCGATGTTGAAAACTATATACTCGATATCTCGCATCTTTATCCACACTTGCAGGACTGTGACGAAGTGTTTCGCCCGTTCTATCTCTGCACCATCATCAAGCCCTTGTTTTTCTTTCTCGATCCTTATCACCGAAAGCGCATAGCTATATCAGATTTGTTAATCAGCCCGTATCTTGACCAAATCTTTGCTAACCCATCTGATCAGCCGCAAGAAGCCCTGGGCACCCTGCAAGGGCCACTCGCACAACGCTACTTAACTTGGTTCCATCCTGACGCTGTAATGGATCTCTACACCTCCTACATCAGCGCTGATACCGACCAGGATGGGCTCTTGAGTGATAAAGAGTTAGCAGCGTTGGCCAAATATAAGTTCACTAGCAGATTTATCAAGGCGTTGCTCTTGACAATTCAAACATTCAACGGCAAAATGGATTACCGTGGCTTCATAGATCTAATGCTCTGCGTCTCCTTCCCGCGCAGCAAAGCTGCGGCAGTCTATATCTTCAAAATACTAGACTTTAATTGTAAGGGACATCTAACTAGAGACGATGTGCTATATTTCCTACAGGAAATGGTAGATGGGCTTCAGGGGTACTGCGGCGAGGGCGTGAAGTTTAACGTCGATGACCTTTGTGATGAAGTGTTTGACAGCATCTCTCCCAAAAGCAACAGCATGGTTACTCTTTCGGACATAATTAGCTCTCGTAGCGGCGACATTTTGATTACCTTTTTAATTGATCCACTCTTGTTCATTGAAAAGGAGTTGCAGCTTCAACAAGGCCACGTGATGATGAGGCCCTTGCCTTTTGAGGTCTAGAGCATGAGGGGTTATAGAATGCACTGAACCAAACTGATTCCAAGCTTTTAGTCTGATGAACCAGGTCGGCGTTTAAATTTGGTGTCTCTCCACTCCACCAGGATATTGTGGCCAAACATGATCACGGATTTGAGATGTTTTAGACGGCCAGTCGACCAAATGAGAGCAATGATGCTAATTGTATAGACAAAGACTACGACGACTAAAACAATCACCACCGTCACAATCCTGTTATAGAGGTATGTGTTTATTTGCTTGGACACCGCCTCCATCGCTACCTGAAGAGTGTCACTCATTACTCTAAAGGTTTCTAAGTTGCTTGTGAGGTTGATGTTACTTAGAGGCACAAGAAGGTTTAAAATCTGACCTAGAGTGATACTTCCGGTAACGTTGGTGCCATTGGTGCTGTTGATGAGATTGATTGTATAATTAGCATTGATTCCGAGAGGACTAATTTGGTCTGCGATATGAGTTATCCTCGTGAGGGCTGGGATACTCAATTCTGTAAGCCTCTCATACAACTTCCTGCAGGACACATGACCCGTCGTCACGGATTCGTGTTGGTTCCAATAGAGGAGCGTTGAGTCTATCTCTGCAGAGAATCCTTGGATCCTCTCGCCAAAGCGCACACTGGGGCTACTAAACTTCAGCACATACTCAGAGCCATAGCAGATTGACTCTAGCATGATACGTAGCAAATGTATATGCTCTGCGTGAAGATCACAGAAAGACTGAAATCTCTGCGCGCTTTCCTTGATCGCAATCTTCTCTTCCACACTTAAGTTGTCCGTTGACGAGTATGAGTACTTAGATGCATATTCCGGGTGTGTTTCGGCCTCTGTAATCAGATACTGGTTAATGTAGCGGACGCTTTCTACAAGCATGGGCATGCCCTTTACATAGCTACTTATGCTGTAGTATTTTGCATACATGAAAATAAGCCCTATGCTCCCCCATAGAAAGAACAGCCCAAAGGTTCCAATAAGTAACGGAACTAGTGTATAGAAGACGATTTCTCCTAAAAAGAGCTGTTTTGTCCCAACGATTTGCGACGACGCTATCTTGTCAAATAGCTTTCGCACCTTGTCATTCCTATGAAGATGCTTTGCAGCATGCTCATCCATCTGCATGTTATACATGCTGTTCACCATGTGCCCTGTCTGCTCCAGTAGCATCTCGACTTCAATCGCAGAAACCTCCTGTGGAGAGTCTGAAGAACTCGAAGGGCTATCCTTGAGCATTCTAGCGTACACTGTGTATATGGGAAGGGAAGAAAATACTATACTGATCGATATAGTAACCAGCGTAAGGAGAACACTGCAAATGATTAACAGAGACCTAACTTCGAGCTTAGAGTCGTGCTCTTTTTGCTTCTGGACAAAGAGAGACATTATGCCATCGTAGAGTCTGCCAAAAGCATACTCCATTCCCATGTTTGCCTGATCAAGAGTATCTAGATGCATCTGAGCAATAGAATCTAAAATATTAATGTGGCTGTCTGGAGAATCTGCGGTTGGCTGATAGAGGGCTAAAACGTAATTGTCTCTGAGATGTTTCTGAATTAAAATTGAAAAGCTTCTTTGCTCTGCAAACGAATAGAATGACGATAGCACTTCCTCGACAGTTCCCTGTGTGAACCTAGCGTTTCCAAGGTTCTCATTCCATCTAATCAGGGGTATATTCGGCTCTATTAACTTCTTTGCTGCATAGATGTACTCCTGGATGGAAATAGGAAAATCACTAAGGATGTAAGAGCTGTATGAAGGCATGGAGTTATAGAGCTGGAGCTCAGAGATATACGATGTCTCATTGTATCCGGAAAGCGCAGCATTCAACAGGTCTTCCTTCAAGGCAGATATATTGTAGTAATCTTGGCGGTTTAAATGAGGAATGAAGAAGCCGTAGTAGTAGAGAAGCGATAGGCTTTCATGATATATAGTATCTAAGCGGTCTTGTGCCGGAACGAACACGTCTGTTGGTGAGTAGGCAACTGGTTGGTCTAGAAACGTCGCGATGCTGTCTCTTCGATAACGAAGGTGATAGCTGCTTAATTCATGGAGCGAGCGAATTAAGGCGTATTCTCTATCGATGCGAAATGCATATGCTAGATTAAAACCTGACAAGGAGACCAGCATACAGCCAGCAAGTCCTGCTGAAAAAATTCCGATGATTATCAAAATGTTAATATATTTTCTGATTTTCCCGGAGTTGAACCCGTGACTATGTCCATTAGAGAAGAGCAAGTGCTTGAAGCTCCAAAAAACATAGAGGCTGCAATAGAGAGCTAGAGGAATAATTGTTAGTAGAAGCACAGACAAGGAGATGATGGACATTATGAAGTTAGTCGAAAGATTAAGGTCCACCAAACGGATTGTACCCGATGTATCTTTGAGTATATATTCCGTGAAGTTGCCGAACAGATAGAGCTTCATGGCACGTTTCATAGTATCGTACACAGACTCACTGGAATTTTTGGGGCCCAAGTGAATCTCAACCTCTTGGTTAAAGCGCGCAGAGAAGAGATAGAAGAGGCTTTTGAAGCTTGTCATGTCCAGTATCTTATTTGCATGGTGATATAGGTCGCTGAAAGACCGCACAGCATCCTTGTTGGGACTATCGAAGTAATCTACAAGGAGAGTTGCTGGGGATCTTGGGTCCAAATAATGCTCCAAAGAATACGTATCATATAAAAGATTGCTGAAAAGTGTCTTCTTTAGGACGCATTCTGCGCTATCATTTTCAACATCATAGTTTGTAGCGACGAAGTCGTAGGAGCTATCTTTTGCTTTGATCATTGGCAGCTCCAACATCGTATTTGAAACGTCTATAAAGTAGCGCAGAAGCTTGTAATATGTCAGGACCGTACTGTCGCTATAGAACGGCTTTACTTCTAAATGGTAATCGAGTTGGCGATGGATAACATTGCCGTCTCTACGAGTATACTCAAGAAGTTGAGACGGAGCAACAATGCGGGTTAAGAACAAGAGGGGGGCTCGAAGCACAGTGAACAAATAACGAGGAGCCGTCAACAATGGCTCAAACACGAATGTTAATGCGTAGAACAAATTGCTGCATGGAGCTAAAATCCTTGCATAGGAGGTAAGCGGTATGGAGAAGACGTTGTACCTATTGAACTCCGAAAACATGCTTTCTAACTCCTCAACATTGAGGTGCTTGACTGCGCTGGTATAGGTTTCTTTGTAAGTAGAAACGTTGGCGCCCATGCGAATGTTCCAGATCCCTGTTTCAAGATAGTTCAGCATGTGCTGAAAAAAGTGCAACTTCCGTGTCAAGAGGAGCGCAGACTCTGATGACATTACACGGTGGGTCAATGTCATGGAAATAGACCCCAGCACGTGAACAGATGCCACCGAAAGTACTACAGACAATATGACCAATAGGAGAAACAAACAGATAGGTTGGATGTTGTCTGCTTTGCGCTTTAAAGCCACGTATCGATAATTCATCTTGGAGTGCCTGGCGTTGATAACATTTATTGCACCTTCAACAATTTGCTTTTCTTCTGCTGATTGTGTGCTTAATGAACTTAGAAGGTCCAACTCACCCTTCAGCCTCGTGCACGTCTTCTCAAGCGCTTCCAGTCTTGACTTGAAGGATATAAAGATGCCCAAAAAGGGGCAGCAAATGAACACTCGCTGCATGAATGTTAAGCTGAGTGTGCTATCAGCTTGCTTTTTAATCTCTTTGATTTTTTCTAATACCTTGTGCGCCATCAGGTTGCAACAAAATCTCCTAGATTGCTTGAAGTGACTGACCCTGTGGCTTGATGATGTTGATCTGGTCTCTGCAATTAGACTCTCATTGTTCAGGTCCTCTGAGCGAAGGGGTGTGCTAAACCGTGATTTGGTTGTGCTTCTGTCACCCGTATTCTGTGAGCGACTGTCTAGCATAGTAGACAAGATTTCGGGACAATGACGATGAGAGGATGATAGAAAAGATTGCTGGTTCTGCTGGCTCGTAGATGCCTCTGCTATTCTTGGCAATTCTCCGTGAGTCTTAACATCGTCTACCTCTTGAACAGACGGCTCTGCAGACGTTGCTGGGGTCTGCATCGTAGTCCCCGAAGCTCTTGTCTGGAGTTTAGATGTGCTAATACTTGTGCTAAAAGGGGTCATCCGAGACTGACTAGATGACTTGTTAATGTGGGGGTCTCTTAAGAGCATCTGCAAGGCATTAATATCGTAAAACTGGATCACAAAGTCACATATCTTAAAACAGATCGCGTTAGATAAACGAGAAATGTCATTGTAGTTAAGCTGCTGATAAATGCTGAGAATTCTAAAGAAAACAATGATGAGTTTGCGAAACTGGATGCTGCGGATAGTTGATATAACGATAACAAGACATAGCGTGCATATCAGTATGTGAATTGGGAGCTCTATGTTGAAAAGGTATTGAACAGCGAGATCCCTTGCGACTGTGGAATATAGAATCAACTTCTTGACCCCCTGTGGCGCTGTTTCAAAGATATTTTGATCAAATAACGGGGTCGTCGTGAACCTCGAATCATCAAACTTGATATGGAACCTCTCGTTGTCGGGCAGATACGTCTTCTGATACAATAGAGACGACAAGATGTCTGCATATTCTCTGAAGGATACGGTATAGGCAAAAATTGGGGATAACGCCTTGGACTGCTTAAGCACACTAGGAGTTATGCTAATACGAGGGATATAATTCTCCAGCTGTGCCTGATATTCCCACAGCCAGTGAAAGGTCTCTGGTATTTGCAATACTTTAGACAGTAGCGGGTTTGTTCGCATAACACTAATATATGAAAAGATTTTGGAGGGGTCTATGATCCCAGAGAGCAAATCTTGGAAGGTCTTGCTGGGAGTTGTTAAATTGGTAAAGAAGCTTAAGAAGATTGTAATGTCATCACTATTCTCGTTGTAGAGCTCTGATGGAAATAGATTGATCAGCTGAGACTTGTAGAAGGAATCGTTTTCTAGTGCGTTGACATCATTTGTTATCGCATTGCTGCTACCATTGTAAAGTAAGTAGTCCTGCGTGGAACTTGATTCGTTTCCATTTAGAAACGAGTACTGGGACAGGTGCGTTAAGATCCCGTTGCACAACCCTTCTCCATAAAAGCATGACAAGCTCAGACTCGCAGTGGCTACAGTCTCATACTGCTTCCGCATCTCCGCGGAGCACTTACCTCTAGTGTTGCTTGTGAGTTTCTTATCAATCGACCAAAGTCTAACGTTGTGTATGTATTTATAGAGTAGAAGATCTAAGTAGTCTGACAATGTGAGACCTCTAACCCACAGATCGCCAAGATAAAAATAAATTATACAAAAGAGTACAAAAAGGAAGAGAGCCGTTCCTGCTAAGGATATGTAAAATGATGCAGTTGTATGGGGAGCGTTATCTAGCTGGTGAGGTAGATTGAACCAACCCTTTAGGGTCCTCATGCGTTCTGATATGAAGCCTAGATGCACCTTTCTCCCAACAATTGAGATTGCCCGGATTCCATCTGCACGCTTTGCAATCTGCTCTTCAAGTTGTCGCCTATAGGTTTTGCTCAGATTTGCACCAAAAATATCATTCTCATGAGCGGCTGCATGTTCTTCGTGATTGTGCGAATCAAATAAGGAGCCCAGATACCCTCTAGCCTTGATGTCAGAATAGTTATCTATCTGCGGGTCATAGTGCTGCGAAATGGGCAAGCCTTCGCTGAATATTTCTGTACTAGAATTGTCATTACCCGCAGAGCTCTGTGAAGCCGGCGTGTTTCGTCCTGAACTGTGCACGTGGTATAAGCCAGACATGCCGGGACTGTCGTGATGTGCCACGTTGATTCCGCTGTGTGTATGAACTACAATATTTAAGAAGCTTCTCAAGTGAGGCGTCCTATCTGCTTCTATCGCTTCTGGTATGATCTCTCTGCAAATCTTTGCAAAGCGTGCCGTATCCTTTGGGCAGAAATTAAAAGAACGAAGAAAACCATAATACATAAACAAAATCGATTGGTCCTTGTGTCGAATTGTAGTTGTGGACGAGAGGACTTTTCTTACGATACAGAACTCATTGTAGATTAACTGTAGTACTGTCACAAGGGTCCAGTTTTGCAAGGTAAGAGATTGATGACTCTTTGCTCCGAGAAGATCGTGATACATCGAGGTTTCCCCCTGGCCCCTAGTTAAGGGCTTGAAAAGTACTATAAACCCAGACAACAATCTAAAAAACCGAAGGAAATTGTTTTTAAATAGCGTATCCACAAATATGTGCCCAGTATTCCCTACTGTGAGGATGGAGTTGTTGTTATCTGCCGCCTCAAATGTATAGATGTTCTCAATCAAATCGATGAGTACAACTAATGTCATAATTGAGAAAGTATCTTGTGAAACGCCCCCAACGCGAACAATCTTTGCCTCGGGTCTAATTAGCTCCCCAACCGCCTGAGTGAGGAGTTTCTCGCTAGTAAGTAACTCGGAAACGGAGTGCTTCTCATCCTTAGAAGAAATACCGGCCAAGTCCCGCTGTACTTGCTCAGCGGTGTAATTACCTGGGGTGGGTACTGGATGGCCTCTTACTGGTGGTGTTGGTGCTGTTGTTGCGAAAGCCAGGTTTGAACTTGATCGGGACACGGACGAAAAGGCAGAGTCGGTTATTGCGATCGGTTCTAGCTTAGTTGAACCGAGAATAATTGAGGATGATGTGTCCTGTGTTTGGTCCGAGACCACAGACTCACAATACCCATTTGAATGGCCCTTATGAGGTTGTTCAGGGACCTTTTCCTGCTTCTTGGCATGCTTCTTCTGCTTTTTTCTCCGCCATATCTGTACCAAGTTTGGCCAGCGGGCTAGCTTGAATAGGCTGTTTTCAGATCTATTTCCCAAAGGATCTACTATCGTTTTAGTCTTGCGTTTACCGAAAATAAATTTCTGAAATGTGTTTTGGCCTATTGAAGTATTAATATATGCATAGTATTTAATGAGACGTGAAAGGGCAACTGCCGGAGGAAGATCATAGGTGATCGAGGGCGCAAACCTTGTACTCCATCTTTCCGTTGTGCCGATACCCAGTTTTCCACCGTCAGTTCCATCATCTACAAGATACACTTCATCTCCAGATACTTCTTTTGGACTGGAGAGTGTGTACTCCGAGTTCTCAAGAGAGGTGTACTTAATTCTCTGCTCCCGCAAGAAAAGCTGAAAGCTGTGTCCATATGGTGTAGCAGATCCCGGTGAATCATCTAACAATTGAAATTGTGAGTGCATAGTACTGCGCCCAGCTAGATGCGCATCTGACCAGCACTTGAACAAAGGGGTGAAAACCTCCCTTTCGCTATACGTGTGTATGGTCACTAGTGTGCCCTTCTCAAAGCGGCTGTACAGAGTGGGCACGTAGGGAACTATAATCACGGTTCGGTCCTTTCCATCCGGCATCCTCTGTTGCAGATATGTGGAGTCTGTATCTGCGATCTTAGACCCTTGACCCTGTATCTTAACTGTAAAGGCGGTAAAAGCGGGCACATATGGGAACAGAGTGTCATAAATCAGAGAAGGATAGCTCACCTCCTGATAGACAGACTCCAACTCAAAAATCTTGAAGTCAATCTTAGGGAACAAGGAGAGCAAGTGGGTCTTAAAGAAGTACTGCGCAGGCGATAGATGTTTTCCTGCTAGTGAAATGAAATTGAATAAAGTCGTCGTATCTTGATGGATTGCAGATTGATTTCCAGTCAACTTTTTAGAATTTAGTGCTGCAAATTGGAGCGTCTTCTGATGAATTTGTTCTTCGTAACGCTTGTTCCCCGTCATCCCAGTGTAATTCAACATAATTTCCAGAATAGTGCCGAAGTATATAAAGACCCAGGGGCTTGCAAAGTAGCTCCAGGCGAAGTCCAGGGCCATAGTAAGCTCCGCGCTATGCAATATGCGTATGTGAGAAATGCTTACAGATTTGGTGAAAATGACAGCCAAGATCTGGCCAAACTCTGCACAGGTCGACGTTATAAATGGTACAGCATACTTCCTTGCCAAATACATTGCAATACAGTGCTCGCGATAAAGATGTTGGGGCATGAAAAACGAGTCCGTAATGGTCCGGGCCTCGGATGAGACGAGCACAGAACATATATCGATATATCTGAAGAAGCTTGTGCTGTGCAATTGAGACGCCAGCTCCTTGTAGTCATCCGCCTTTGTGGCGCTGTCATTGAGAAGAAGAAGAATAAACCCCAAGATTGCCATTTCAATCTTCTCCTGTCTAACAATGAGACAATTAAAAATAAGCTTTATCAAATATCTATCTAGTGCTGTATCCATTCCGTATGTGCGAAGCTCACAAAGTCGCGCAAGCCTGATATTGTGGATAGAAAACTGCTCAAGGAGAAACGGTGGCTGCTGTCCGCGTGCATGCAAGGCAATTCCATACTTTTTATTCAAGAGGATTTCCTCTTGTGGGGTGCCCAAATTAACAAGGTCTATATCCTTAGAAAGGGTCATTCCTCTAACAAACTCGTAGAAGGACAACAAAAGGGACAGAGGATAGTAGATGCATATTAAGTACAGCAGTATCCCCGGAGGAAAAAGGAAGATCTTGGTGTTGAAGTAAGTTGTGGCCTTTTGTGTTTCTATGCTTAGTTGAATGCATGAGGCTTCAAACCTGTGGATTGGAATCCCGTCTCTTTCATTGCAGTTTCTGACAAAGGTGGTTAGAAGCGCATATAGCCTAGATGACGATCTTCCCATCAGGCTGCTTCCCTCTAGGAACCGCATGAAGGAAATGGAGCGAGTGAAGTGCTCAACGCTGTCATGGTATTTGCTGTACTTATAAAGGACCATGAGTAACGCAATTAGTAGGGCACTTAGATACGTAATGGCATAGAAGCCTGCACTGGAAAGGCCTGGAGAAATTGTAGAAAAGAAGTACACTAGTGAACTAATTACCGTTATAGATGCAGTATACACTGTCACAAAGGTCAAGAGGATGTTACTAATAAGTGACGCAAAGATTTCAGCTTGAATTACAAAGAATATTAAGATGAGTGAGTGAAGTACATAGATGTAGTTGTCATAAAAAGGGTAGAGCTGTGCAAGAAAAGGCCCCAACGAAAAGAGCTTAATAATGGCCAGGAGCTGGCGAGTATCCAACACTGCAGAAATAGTTAATATGTGGACATTGTGAACGTTAAAGCGGGAGATGATATTCAAATCAATGACTTGCTTAATAAGCCACCCCAACGTCAAGATCACGAGCCAGAGGATCTTCATGGAGGTACGAATATACACGACTTTGGCTATAAACTGACCCATGTTAATTAAAATCGGGGCTTCTGTCACTAAAATTAAATTGGTGCATAGTCCAAAGCTAAACCAATAGATATATGGATGCCGGAGAAGGGCGCGACTCAGGTAAGCTGTTAAAAGATAAAATAGAACGGCTCCTAGATATGCAAATGCTGCAACAGAAATAACGACTCTTTGCCAATCATCAATACCACACAGGAATCTGCTGATAGAAAAGGGAAGATGGGTGTGGTCCATCATACCCGGGGCTATGCACATTCCTACGATGTTCTGAAAACCGATGAGTACAAAAACTATTAATAGCGGTCCAAGGGTTGTCTTATAGAGGTAATTATTTGGCCGCCAGCGCACAAAGCCCTTAGAAATAATTAAGAGTAGCCGGCGTAGGCCCATATCACTTATTTTTTAAATCGCGCCCTCACCTTTTTCAATCAAGATAGCACTGTGAGTATAACAATTGCTCACGATTGGCAAAGGTATGCAAGGCTACAAAAGATGTACGCATCAGTAACACCTTGTAATTATGCCATAAGAACTTGTACGACTTAGTACTGCTTTACTGAATCCATAGTGCTATTTGCTCACCAAGCTTTTGCACATACCACTGATACACACGAATGCTGGGTATGTTCTTGCATCTAATTGTACCAATCGATATGTAGTTTAGATAGATTGTAATTTTGCGGACGAAGTATCGTCTTCTATGCTGCTTCATACTGCTGCGCATCACCTTGTTGTAGTAGGAATCCTTCTTTAGGTTTTTGTGTCTATTGCTCTACTCATGCTATACTGAGAGAAACATCGACTGTCTGGAGCAGTGCAAAAAGCTTCCTAGCTGCAGGGTATTTCCGGAGTTTGAATAAGGAGTGTCTCCGGAGCGTGTCCCTTTCTAGGTTATCACCTGCCATTTCTGGTATACCGCCAAATGATGTACAAACTTTCAAGTCAGTGCAGCCGGTCTCAAGTTAATAGCAGCAACGCTCCTAGATGATAAAATAGCCCCAGAGGTGTTATGAAGCCAGTACATGGAATAATTTTATCTAAAGGCTCTGCTATGCATGCATACTGTCTCAATGGTTCCAAGATAGTTGTGATCACTTGCCTTTAAGTGAGATGCTTGTAGTGCGGTGTGCAACCGCAGCAGACGTTGGCTCCGCTGCCACGTAGATCTTAAGCAATGATCTGTAGCATCCACAAGTATGCGGCTAGTTTAATATTGATCATAAACTGGAATGCCTTAGTCCGGCTGACTATCACAAGTGACTGTGCAAAGATATGGGCACTGAGTAAACGGATATAACTAAAGAGAGCGGAAGTTATAGGGGTGCAATGCTCACTGACAAGTTGGAGGTTGAGGTACAGAAAGCTTCAGTCACCCTCGAGGTCCGTTCTCTTGTTACCATAAAGCATATCTGACATTGGTAGTAAGTATAGAGAGAAGGTTGTTACCACAATACACACTTAGAGTAGGAGGTTTCGATAGACCAACCTTCGAATATGACGTATCCACAAATAAGAGCAAGACTTTCATAGAGAATTGAGGAGGTAGGACAGCATCAAGGCGCTCAACCTGGGCAAGGTTTATAAAACCTGTAAAGGACAGGTTGCAATCAAACTATCAAGTATTGACGTCAAAACCTTTTACACAATTCCTCCTTCTATCAAGACACGACACTAGTGTCTACTAAATTGGGCTCGACAAGCATAGCCGTCGTATTTCATGTTAATAAGCTAAAATGTTTTATCGTTTAATTCTTTGAGTAGCCAAATCAACGTATTGATATGCTAGTACTACTACTATTTTCTATTGCTTTGGGATGTGCCCTGGGTACACCTTTTACTAACGAACCTGAACATGGAATGGGTGTCCGCTTCACCCGACGCGGACTGGAGAAGTTCTGCCAGAAGGGCTACTCTATCATTCCTGACGTTATCTCTGCTCTTCCAGCGTTTCCAGAGATACCCATAACTGTCGGGATTTTGCAGATTACTCTCTCCAATATCAGACCCCGTGCAGTGCGTGTTTCAACCATGAAGGTTTATTTGCAAGACAACAACTTTGTCAAGATGGAGGCTCGGGACGGCATCATGCAGATCTCGATGCGGCTTAAAACTACCATTACTGGGATCACCGGGACCGTCGACTGCATCTTCACCCTCAAGGACTTCGGGGCAGACATCTCCCTGAGGCTCGGAGACGACCCCACCTGCCCGTACCATTTCGGGCTTTCCGAGATATCGAACGTCGTGTACTCGTCTGGGCTCGACATCGATGCCATCGGACTTGACACGGGGGGATCTGTCCTTGCAACTGCCATCCAGGGCATGGGGCCCACGCTGGAGACCCTGGTGAAGGATACTGTGCTGCAATTCCTTTTAGATACCATCTTTAAGTCGATAAAGCAGTCAATGCTTAACCTGCCCATAGTTGTCCAGATCAACAATGACTACATGTCTGACCAGCGCTACATCAATGGCATCAATGTCGTCGATAACAAGATAGTGGCAGACCAAGGTGGCTTTTCAATGATCGTTGCTATCCCAGATTGGTCGGTCAGAGCTCTCTATCCAAACAAGATCACCTCTCCCCCTCCGAAGACAGTCTACACCGACAGGGACTATGAGTTCTATGTAGACAGGGAGTCGGTCAACTCCTACCTGTATGCCTGGCACGTGGCGTATGACAAGTTCAAGGCAGACGGTCTCACTGTCCCGTACAGCACCATCAGGGGGCAGAACATACCCGGCCTTGCAGAGGCTCTTGTGAAAGCAGGCATGTTAACCGATGTCAGTGATCCCGGAAATGATGTCACCCTGACTCTATCGGTCAGTCCCTCCAAGGATGCCGCACCCCACATCCCGTGGATCGGGGCAGCTGCACTGTTGACCAATCTCACAGGAACACTTGTTGTGACAACCAGCAAGGTATCAGGCCAAACTCCGGTGACTTTAGCCAATCTCGAGGGCAATGTGCTCTTCTCTTCTGCGGTCAAGCTTAGGAAGTTTACCTACGGGTTTAACAACGACCAAGTTCGTGCATATGCAGAGTTCCTTGATGTGTACGATATTGCCACCAAGAAGCACAGCGAAGGGATGGATGATCCTGTTCCTCTACTGAAGCGTCTTCTTCTAGATAAGTACCTCCCCCTTGTTAACCCGATCCTGGCCGAGACAGGGGTGGCCCTCATGAACGGGAACTTCATCGACTACGCTACCATCGACACTGTTTATCTGTGCAGCGAGGACAGAGTGCTCTTTGTTGCTGACATCGAGAAGAATCGATATTTTTCCTAAATCTTGCATCACGTATATCCTCGCACGTCGAGGGTTCAGTCTGTACCATATGAACGGCTTGACTGAACGAACGCGTGTCTTATTAGTAACACTACTTAGTAGTAAATGTTTGTAGACCTCCTCGGCGAAACGCCTTAGGCCAGGGCTTCTGAGCATCGACGTGCACCGTCGCACTGATGATGCACAGGAGCATGAGTCTTCTCCAATGACGAGGACAAGCGGACCGGGGAGATGCGTGTGCTCGTGAGCTCCTGGGCTGGGCTTAGCAGGGTCGGCCGATGGACGTTTGCAATCACAGACCATGACATTGAGAATGCATCTTCAGCGTGTCACAGATAAGCCCTGGTATCCCTGAGCTCTGGAACTGCAAACCGGATCCCGTGCAGACATGTGGGCGTTGAACTGTATACTGAGCCGCGGACGCTTGCTTTGTTCCTTGATCCTCGGGATTGGATACATGGTCACTAGCGATTGACTGTGCTCCCTGCCAAATGCACCAGCTATGCGCCGTCATGGCTGCACACATCCATTCACAGTATGCGATGTGCCTACTATCCGGGTAGACACTAATCCTTAGTCGCAGAGGCTACTTGCAGATACGCTCAGCCACTGCGGCCTCTGACTGTATCTGTGTACTGGGGCAGCTCCGTGCATGCCTGGGCCCTTGTCGTGCAGCTACCCTTTGCCTACAAGCGTCCACTTGCACATGCTAGCCTGACTGCTGTCGACGCCCCGTGTGTCCAGCAGGCGTAGTTACAATGAAGACACAGGCTAATGACCACTATGCAGTCGTTGACACACGAGTAACAGCTGTGCCGTGCAACTGCAGTCGATTCTCACCATTTACTAGGCACCAAGATGAAAGTGACGCACTGTGGGACCTACGCCTTTGTGTGCCTTAGATCTACGACCCTCGATCCTAGTGTTGGTTCAGAGGTCTCTTGCTTGACCACAGTGGGGGTCTTGCAATGGTGTGCTCTCAGTCCCCATGGTCAAGATAGGGTGACTGGTATGAGTCACGACGCATATCCTGCTCATGCTCAGACAGACGGACGCTCCAGAGGCTCCGAAATACACGGTGCTCTCCTGTTCTGTGGGAATCGGTATGCTCAGGGATACCCGGGACTTGGATGTGTGTCCGGGTGGGCACCAGGCACTCCGGCAACACTGGCGGTAGAGTGGGATAGGAGACAGGTGTATTCTGTCGGGTGCTGATGGCAGTGCTCCCGGTGGCCATCCACTACACGTGCCCGTCCGTCTCATAAGGCCAGGTTGGCCTGCACAGCCCCTCAATGTGGTCAGCTAATGGGAGACCCAGTGGAAGAGAACCCTCGGAGACCGGAATCCATGGGAGACGGGTGGACTCAGACACTGGTCATGCAAGGAGCTGCCATAGCCCTATCGAGCTCCAGCATTTGCTTGAAGCAAAAAGAAGGTTGTTCTGGTAGATTCAGGACATGTCGGAACCATCAGATCTAGTAGAAGGAGACAAACATGAATACTATTTCATAGTGAAAACATTGTCCAGCTAGTGGCCACCATTTTTTCACCTTGGAAACAACGCTTGAGGCCCCATACATTCAGTTAATGGTCATGAATAGTGGTACTGTGTAATAATTCTATGCCCATAGTAGTTGGTATTGGCGTTTTGTTAGCGCAAGAAGGTCTAGTTCAGCCATATCTGTGCACTAAAAATTTAAATAAAGAATTTAAAAATACCCTCTCATGCATTTAGCGCAATCACTTGAAGAGCTCATTGCATCGAGAAATGTGCAAGATGCGGTTAAATTTACAGCTGCAATGACCCAGGAGCAAAGGCTCACCATATCAGAAGACTTTCAAGAGCAATATGGCTCAAGTGTGGGAGATCATATTAGAAAGCTGATGTCACCATCAAGTTCCACCTCTCTTCTAATAAATATGTGGCTTCCTACAAAGATACTCCGTTTGCGTGTGTTAGAGCGGAACTTTAAGGAGCTCGTGCCTCTGGAGCTAGCGCACTGTGCAATCACCTGTCCCCAAGAAGAATTTGTAGAGATCTGCGACATTTACAATACTACGGCGAAAGCCTCTCTGTATGCGGGGATTCGCAGGCAATGCATTGGGCCAGAGCCCTGGAAGTATCTCGTTCAACAATGGGTCACCTTCAATCATGGATCTATAAGCAATTTGGTTTTTCTGAGAGACCAAGCGCGTTGTGCAATCGAAAGTGTCGACGGGAGGCTCTTCGTGGACACCATTTTCAGCGCAGATCGTACCGTTTGGCCAGTTGTCTGCAAAGAGTACGAATGCCAATATGGAGCACCACTGATCAAAGACCTAGCTGTGTTTGGTGAGGATTCTGCCCCTATTCTTTCGTTTGCATGCTTATTTATCTGTGACCAAACGCTAGCAATCTCTTATTTACTCAACCAGTTTATCATGACAGGTGACAATGATGGCGCAGGAATCGTATCCGCGCTGTATTCGGAAGAATGGCATGGGGTTCCTATGGCATATGTGCAGTATGGTTCTTTGAAAGAGGACATACGTGCCAACTTCAGCTCCCGATACACTGAGGCACTTGCAACAGTCTGGAAGATATAGTAAAGGCGACTGTAGTTTTGACGTTGATTGGCGGTATTGCTATTCCATAAAATTATGTCCTACACTCAACTGAGTCGAGAGCTTCATGGGCTGGTTGAGGCTGGAGATGAGGTTGGCCTGGCTGTGTTTACTCGCAGGTTCAACGAGCTTCAGCGATCAGAGATGCAGATAGCCTATCAGGCTTTTCGCGGAGTGGACCTAACGTCCGAGATAAATAAGCGCCTTAAGAACAAAGCTCATGCAGAGCTCCTATCTTCGCTGTGGAAGGAAAGGACCACAAATATCGTGGACACGCTCCAGGTCTTGATTAAGCGCAAGAAGAAGTGCCCCAGAGTCGTGCTTTCTGTGGTGTTTGGTAGTTCTCAGAACCAATGGGAGAAGGTGTCGGCAAGCTGGACAGCAATGTATAAGAATGATCTTTTGACTGCAATCAAGCAAGCCATTCAGCCTAGTGATTTTGTGAATCAGCTCATTGATAAGTGGGCAGCGGGGCCGCGATCTAACAATGGACAGCTTCGAGAAGGTGCCTATGCTTTAAAACAATCTTTACATGGAGAGGAACAGCCAGCTTTTGCAAATATTGACGATACAATGGACTACGACAAACTTTCTACAATTCTTGCCACCACCTCCTCCACAGAATGGCCTACCATAGTTTCCATTTATGAAAAGCTCTCAGGTGTTGCATTCGATAGCCTCCATATATTAGGTTCAAAGAAGTCCAAGATGGCATATGACACAGAGATATTGCACCTCGCAGCCCAGTTTGCTCGCAGCCCGGCAGAAGGCGTGGCTTATGCATTGAACTGGGCTGTTACTGACAAGGATCTTAGCGACATTTGTTCTTTGACAGCCCTCTTTGTCGACAAGGCTCCTCAGACAAACATCAGGTACCAGAAGTACGGGGTTCTCCGAGATGATCTCATAGCTGTGCTTACAAGTAAAGTGGCGGCTCCTATCGTCGAGCTTTGGGCTCCCGAGGCATGACGTGGATGGATGTTAGTAAATTAAAAGATGTCATACGGGAATATAGTAGGCCAGATAAGGGACATCCTAGATAACAGAGACCTTAATGGGCTAATAGATGCAACAATTAGATATTCTCGACGCCAGCGGCGAGAGATCTCGCACCATTATGAAGAGTCATATGTATCAAGTTTTTCGCCAGGGAAGGAAGAAGAAGCCACGCAGCCCCTGAAAACAAGGAGAACAGTGTCAGAGAAAATGAGAAAGAACTACTTGTCAGATGCTGCGGATACCATCTTATCTGTAGAAGATACGGGGGTCATCCGACGTGATCTAACTGTAACAGAAGCACGGATGTTAGACTTAGCGACGATGGTGGCAGCAAGTAGCTATTCACCAGTGCTTGCAGAAGACATAGGAAAGTGCTTTAGAGGTGACGTGGGGGCTCTTCTTTCTTACTGGTGGTCAGACCCACTTGATTTACAATGCAGACTTCTCCACGATGCTTTGCGAGGAAAGGGGTGGCACGAGTATGTAGTCTCGATGTGTGTGTTTATGTGCCGGACAGAGGTTGACTGGCTGCGTCTCTGCAACACTTGGCATGCTAAGCACGGGACCGACCTTCGTGAACACGTTTACAAATGGGCGAATCCAAAACGCTCAGGGCATTCACTAGTGCTTTCGTGGCTGACCTACGATAAAATCACGTCTCCAAGTGCAGATGCAGATGCACTGACAATCAAGGAGGCTCTTGATAGGTCGGATCCCGACTTTGATTCTATAATCAGGGTTTTTGGTCTCAGATTGCCTGAAGAGTGGAAGGTAATCGTAGCTGCATACAAGAGAAGGTTCGGACACACTTTAGAAGAGGCCCTTGCCTCGATTCGATCTAAGCAGAAAGACAAGATCTTCTTTGCCCTAGCACATGCCTCACTTCTGGGGCCAACTGCATTCACATGCTCTGTCCTTGATATTGCTGTACAGAATAAGGCATCTCCATCGTACTTTGCACTGATAGCAGGGGCCTTCTGTGATGCTGCCCTGAGAGGGGACGACGTATACGCAGACGAACTCTATAGCACTCTCACGCGCTACCCGCGGCAGTTCACGGAGATATTCGTGAGCTTGTGGACGGCGGCGCCATAGGAGCAAAGCAAAATTCGTACCATTGTTTACTCTTATAGGAGCCTACGGTCAGTAAACTGCTGCGGAGCCTGTCCGACGCTCTACTTGCTCCTGGCCTTCATGTGCCGCCTCTTACGCTTGAGCTTGCGCATACGCTTCTTCGCCCACTTCGCCCTCATAATTTCGTTTTCAAAGTCCTTCTCCTGCACTGTCCTTTTACCGTTTAATGCAGTATTGCTTATGATGCAGAACACAGATTCCCATCAATATGGAGGAGGGTACAAGGCACACAATACCGCTCCAGGACATTGTACGCGAGGCGCTGGCAGAGCAGGTGGAGTCCTTCACCCCCATTAAACCACCTCCGCCGCACTTTCTCAACGAAATTGCAGCTGGACGTAATCGTCAAGCTGCTCGGAGCCAGATGCTTGAGGCGGCACGGAAGAGGGTTTCGGAAAGAAAGGACAGCAAACGGTCCCACACCGCCAACATGGATTACTTCACTGGTGATACTATTAATCTACGCCACCTTCGGGAGGAGAAACGTCGAGCAGCTCTCATTGTTGATCGTGCAAACTATCTAGAGCACGTGGAGGATACTCGTAAGCCACTGCAGCTCTCCAAGAAAGAGATTGAATTTCACAGTTACTTATCAGGAAATATCTATTCCCAGACGATTGTGCTCACCAATCCAGGACCAACGTCTCGGAGGTATAATATTCTACCTCCGGATGCACCTTTTACTTGCGCTACACTTGCAGGGGAGCTGAAGCCGGGGCTTTCTAAGACAATAGAGGTACTCTTTCGTCCAGAAAGCTGTGCAGATGCTCAAGGTGTACTTACAGTCCGAGCAAAAAATTTTCAAGCAGTAGTGCCAATTCGAGCAGCGAATGAAAAGGCTAATTTCGTGTTTTTAGATTGCTGTTTAGACAATAATGAAAGCTCTGACATCTCGAACATCAAAGTAGAAGAGATAGCGCCTTCAGACTCACGTAAATATAACAAAGTGTTTAACGTCGATCTGGGTCCAATGATGTGTCGCCACGCACAGAAGCACAACCTTAGTCTTATATTGCAACACAAGGCCACCATGCCATGGCAAGAGTATGTGCAAACTCATAGGTTGCCAATTCAATCACAATATGCAGAGCAACCTCAGGAAGTTCCAATCCTACATTCGATCCATGTTACAAGTGTTTCAGTAGAGAACTCTAGCGGTGAATGCAAGATGGATTTATATCTAAATAAGGAATCGTGTGAAGGTTGCTATTTTCCGCTAGATCCTCCGCTGAGCGGCATGCGAACAAAGCTGGGGAAAGACAGACACGCGCGCTTAGAGACTGCTATGGCTCTTGCAGAGAGCGTTGGGCTTCTGGATCCTGCTGGGGTAGGTATTCATCTGCGGACTTCGTTCAGAAAAGATGCGAGTCTGAATGCGGATAGCCCAGTCGCTGTTGGTTCTTTGTCCTCATCTGCTAGAGATAGGCCGGAATATCTGTGTAGAATGGAGCCGGATGGCATATTGTCCTTGGAGCTGGAGTTTGGAGATAACATACAAGCGACAGATACGCATATCGTTTCTATTCTAACTGCAGAACGATCGTCCTTGGAGATTCGGCTGCAAGGATACATTAGCAGTGGGTTTGTCGAGATATCTTCGGTAGGCTCTACGCCCCTATCTACCAAACCACGTAGTCTCATCAATATCAGCCAATTTCTCGATGGAAACTATACCCTTCTACCAGACCAGCTTTTGAATATTAAAACTAGCCTGTATACTGATGGAGTGCAGAGGCTTCCTATTTACATTAATATTAGTAGTCTTCCCGACAAGCTGCTGCATGTATCATTATTGGAGTATACCCATGAGTTAGCCAGAGGTATTGTGCCTGCAAACAGATTTCTTGAGAATCCACGAGCAGCATACCCCTGCGAATACATCGATACTGTTCGTCCAACTTCTACAAGTAGCTCGTCTCAATTGGGTATCTTTTCAATTCAGGATATCAAAACCCTTGCTGACATCCCAACAGAAGATAATGGTCAGATTGACAGCTATATGAAAATACTCAATCTATATTTGCATTTTTCTGAAAACATTACCACACCACAGAGATGCATCTTGGAACTTTCATACTATCTTCCTGGTGTGTATGCACCGATATTGCGAATTCTATTCACTGCTGTTCCTATCAGACGTAATCCAGCTTCAGTCAACATGCTGGAGACGGCATTAGCAGAACAGCTGCTGATAAACAGTTTGACGGAGCTCCGATCTGAAAAGAGAACCGATTATATATTTATTTCCAAGCCGTCTATTGACTTTGGTCTAGTTGCCGTATCTGAGACGGCCAGATTCTGTTTCAGCGTCCGTAATTGCAGCAAGACAGTCTTTTTCCCATTCATAGTGAGTATAAATCTGAAATCTCACGCAGTATCTATTACAGCGGGCCAGACTCCAGGAGGAATCAATTTCGTCTTGCATGATAACACAATAGAGGGGAAGAGTCGTAAAATCTCAGAGACTGTTGAGTTCCCAGATGTTGTGGAGATGCTAGATAATGCTAAGCGCACTTCAGCTATTGAAAAGCTGAAGCCGGTCATCACCACAGCTGGAATGGAGCTGAAGGGAGATGATGAAGCTTGTGAAGAAGATGTTTCTCAGTTGAAACAGGCTCTTCCAGGAAATGTTAATGAATTCCTCAAGCATAACAAGGTATTTGTACCAACTAATGTCCCAACCATCAGAACAACTCAAGGTAATACAAAAGCGCTCAAGGAACTAAAGATAAGCAAGCACTTGGCTAACAGCTGTCTCGGTACTAGCACTGGATCTGGATTAAGTGTCAGTGGAAAAGCTTCCATCACATTTGGGGTCACCCACTCCAACGACGCAGAGCACACCTCTTCCGTTCCTGAACTAGAGACTCTTAAGTCACGGATGCTGAAGAACAAAGGGAATATAACAGGACTCAACGATGTGCTGAGTGTTTATCCCTCTTGTGGTATTCTTCCACCTCGTACACAGGTGCAAATTAATGTGGAGCTTTGTCCTCTATCTATAGGTCCCATAGAGGCATTTCTGGTTATAAACACACCCTCGTCTCAATATTATGCCAATGTCATTCGGAGGATACAGGTACACTTGAAAGAGCAAGAAATGCGCATGTCAACTTATCAGTCTGGGTTGAACAAGACGGCCCTAGATCGCATCTACAAGGAGCGTTGCCTTGTAACAGTCCCCGAGCTCGAGCTTATACGCTATCAAGAAAAGCTTAATAATACGCGTCTTTACTCTGCGTCTGACAAACCTATAGACGGTATACTAGGCCATACTAGAAGCACGGCAAGTCTTACCCATGTTAGAAGCAGGAAAAGTCTTAAGAGCTTAACAGATACGTCTTCACTGGACGACGAGCAGCCGCTGTGGCTTGGGAATGCGGATACAAATCTTTCGGATGACACTAGAGATGAATTCCTCACTGAAACTCCCGAAGGAATCATGTCTAATGATAGAGACGTCTGTTGTAGGGTATTTGGTGTTGTTGCTGCACCATCTGTAGCATTTCTAGAAGAATTTATAGAGCCGACAATGGACAGCGTTAAGTCTGTTACCATTCATCTTAAAAATACTGGACTAACAGAGATAACCGTCAATCTAACTGTTCTGAAAGGAGATGCAATGCTAATCCAGCCCATCACCGATGAACAGCGAGCGATACTGACACCAAACTCACTCATGGCATTGGTTAACTCGACCCTTTTACGAAAAGATATTACACTTACATTGGGTGTTAACGAGACTATACCAGTAGACGTGATGCCTGGTGCCGAGCACGACTCTTATGTTGTGGCGCGCAAGGAGCTATCCTCTTTCGGAGCGTTAGCGTACAAAATTAGTAAGGACCAGCTAGATCTTTCTGACAACGTAATGCTTTCTGCAGTTCTTATTAAGGCCCGAGTAGAGTCTCCGCGGCCTTATATCTACCTTGCTAATGATCCACAGAATAAGTACATAATTAGTGACCCTAAGATACCCCTTACACCAGAGATATTCCTAGATACAAAGCCATACAAGCCGGTAGTCGTTGAATTCGTTATTGCTAATCCATCCGGCAACCCCTTTACTGCCGAGCTCACAACAGGTCCCGACTTGGTTGCTCCCAGTACTATCAAGATCCCGCCCAAATCAAAAACGTTTGCCGCTTTTGCAATTCTTCCAGATAGATCCGGTCAGATGACTACGTTTATTAATTTCCACGATTGTCCAGTGCGAATTACCCTTAACGCAATTGGACCAGATATTGTTATCTCTTCTCCCTATATTAAGAACTCTAATTTGTTGGTTGATCATCAAGGCATGGCAGACGACGTTCTTCCTATTACTGGGCCACTGGACCTCTCTAAAGACATGTCAGTTAGCCACAGACAACCAAAGAAGAGCTCAAAGTGGGACGAGATATTAGCCATTTTGCCAAACAGAATCATCCACGTGCCTCTTACTTACACTGAACTAACAAATATAATCTCTGACTGTGTGGATACGCGGTCAGTAGATAACGAAGGAGACGACCCCGGTGACCCTAACGAAGATGCAACACAATCACAGATGGAAGTACTAGATACTCATCTAGCCGGCGGAGTCAAGCTGCCCAGCTCGCAGCAAGAAGCCTTTGCCCCTGTAAATAGGGACGCAAATCCTATATACCGCATGACAATAGAGGACACAGGAAAGGTGGTGCGTCCCTTGCAAAATTATCTTGACATACTTGACAGCAAGAAATATGGAACCGTCATCTCTCAAACTGCAACTTTCAATCGTAGAGAAAACAATAAAAAGCCGCTAGATTTTTCTCGTATGCTGACAAGCAGAGAGCGATTCCTTGAAATCAGACAGTATCTGCCATCTATCTCTTTCAGCAAGACTGTCGGTGAAACAGCCAGTAGGGTATGTATTAATGTATTCAACCCCACAGTCACCGATATGGACGTCGATATCAATGTCTATGACATCCCCAGCAGCTTTATAGGACTGAGAGCTGCACGAGACACTTCTGGCCATATCTATTTACATCCCTCGGGACCATTTGTCTCTGAGTCTGTAGAGCACAAGCCTGATTTTGGGCGTCTAGGTCCAGAGTTTGACATGACTGTGCTGCATAGTGACCAGAATTCAGAATCAGCTACAATCAATACCCCTTCAACTCCAGCAGTGGACTCTACCACGGGTCACCATTTTGCAGCGCAGCTATTGCAGAGGAATGATGATAAGGGGAAAGGAATCAACAAGTATTTTAAGGCATCGCCTGAGCACGTGGTTGTTGGCTCTCAGAAGTCCGCAAAGGTCTACATAGAGACCATGAACTTTGACGCCTTTCGAGAGTTTGAGGGGCTACTAAGTATAAAAGGGCTCTTCTTGTTGCTGAAGTGTCAACGTGTGCAGCCTCAGATATCTCTCAGCGACGGTATTGAGCTTATAAACATTGCTGGCTCGTACGAGCGAGATACAGACTTGTTGCTCAATATTTCCAATCCTACGGATGACTGTATGTACACCTTGCTGTTGGACGTGCCTCCGCCCTTTGAGCTTCTTCAGAAGGAGCTAGCAGTTACCCCTACGCTTTTACGGCCGCACGGACTGCTCAGCTTCAAACTCATCTTACCTGCAGTCAATTGTCTCAAGATGGCGCAAAACCAGTGGGTTGGGAAAGTCCCGAGGTCTCTTGAGGCAGCAACGACAATTCTAGATTTACTCAAGCAAGAGAGGACCAAGTTCCTGTTTGATTCTACGCTCACCGTCATATTTCCAGAGTGTCGTGATGCGGAGAATACACCATATAATATTGTCTTCCCGATAGCATGTAGGATTGATGCGCCTGCCATCACCCCAGAGTTCAGTAATGTAACCTTTCAACCAGCCTTTGTGGGTGAGTACTCTACGAAGTACATCAAGATTGAAAATCCAATCCATCTCTCTGCGTCCTGGGAAATGCTCCACGTACCACTAGGAGATGCGCAGAAGGTTGCAAACTTGGCCATTAGGAAGCTTCCACCCATGCATCATTTAGAGAACCTGCGCGAGCTCAAAGAGAAATACCTAGTCAACGAGCTTAATGACATTAAGGCCATTCTTCAGGCTGTGAACAGCACGTTTACGGAGAAGGCTTATGGATCTCTGTTTTATGATGGGCTGACAAATACTATCATGGTCGATGATCCATCAGTCTTCACATTCGATTGCTTTAATGGAGTCATTGAGGGGCACAACAATACACACCCCTACAAAAACTTCACAATTACGGCCAGATTTACTCCTGCAGATAACACGAAGAACTGTGCACTGTGTGCTACCAAGGATGGCGAAAAGAAAATAAAATTCTTTTCAGTATTCTATATTAGAGTGTATGGTGGTGCCGGCGCGTGGATTTTCATGACTGGAGAGGTCACGGAAGATATCTTCCAAATATGATACTTTTGCAACTAGAAGATTGATGTGCTGGTACTAGAGATGCCTGTTGTGTACTGCTGCTTCAGCTCCTTATACTTGTTATCTATTGCTGTGTTTTGAAGATGAACCCGTTTCTGAAGGTTGTGATAGTATTCAGACATGTGGCTGTCAAAACTTACATATCCTTGGCCAGGGGGTGTCTTTAATTCACCCCCCTCAGCGAAGATATCACTTTCTACATACTGAGGTAGTAAGGATTCCTGCGGTGGGGGTGCCACGGTAACTAACGATGAAGGCTGCTCAGATGCAGGGTTGAAACCGACTTCAACCGCAGTGGGGCCAGGTGGTGCAGGTTTGGCCGGTTCATCTTCATGAATACAACATTGGCAAGGGCGTGGAAGCGGCGCAAATGATGGAACTGGTGGTTTGGGATCTGGATAGCCCGGGTGACGTCGCCTATGATGGGCCAGCAGGAATTCATAGGCTCCGAACATCTTCCCGCAATGTAGACATGTTGGTAGGGCCTCGACAACCTCCGGACGCACAGACATTAGCCTATACATCATGTTCTCTGTCTCATGCTTTTGTTGTATGTGCTTAATCTCAGCCTTCAGCCTCTCAATCTCTTGTTGCAGGGATACTGCCAGATTGGGATCTGTTTGAGGAGTGACAAGCTCTCGGAGATATGCCTCACACTGAGATGTAGTGTAGAGAAGATACTGTGCAAAATATTGCTGCACTTGGCAGAGCTTTACCGCCCAGTTTGGTGTGTTTCTACTGCACACAAAAGCCCCTATATCTCCGTACACTAATGAACTCAGTGACGTGTTCAATCTAGCTATGTCCATATAGTCAGGGTTTAGCTCCATAACCTGCCGTTCATTAAAAAGCCCTGTGGTTCTTTGAAAGGTAAATTCGCTAGTTGGCGTGAAGTCTATGGTAGAAAACGGTTCCATAAGCTGTAGCTCCGCTCCAAATGTTTATTAAAAGTTTTGAAGATGTCAGGCAAGTACGACTCGTCCCTCACCGTCTTTAGCCCCGACGGACACCTTATCCAGGTCGAGCATGCACATAAGGCGGTTGAGCGAGGAACATCTGCGGTGGCAGTCCGCTCTGCAGCAGGCATTGTACTTGCCATTGAACGTAAGCAGACAGCAAGGTTACAGGATCCACGCGCCTCCCAGAAGATCTTCGATGTAGACGACCACATCATTGCAACATTTGCTGGACTCACGGCCGATGCTCGCGTCCTTATTGATAGGGCAAGGCTGGAATGTCAAGCGTATAGGATGACGTATGATGTGGCCCCGTCTGTAGAGATAATTGCCAAGGCTGTTGCGAGCATTCTACAAAGCCACACGCACAGGGGAGGCACTAGGCCCTTTGGGGTCTCGATCATTCTGGCTGGAAATGATCTCAATGGTTCCCATGTATTCATGTGTGATCCTTCCGGAGTGTATACCGAATGGAAGGCACTGGCCATCGGAAACCAGTGTGTCACCATAATAGAGTTTTTGGAGAAGAAGCTAAAGGAGGGAGAGCCGCAGAACACAAATGATGCACTTTCATTAGCAAAGGCTGCACTCAGTGAGCTTATTGATGTCAACGATGAGACATTTCAGTGCAAGGTATTGAAGGCCTAGACCACTTCACTGCTCTTGTTACAGTCGTTCCTATGTCACACTTAACGATCAAGCATACTCTGACAGAGTAAGCGTCCAGCGTCCACTTAATTTACAGTAAATAACATCAGTTTCGACTCACGCTTATTCTATTCTTCACAGATGAGAGATTCTCGTGGTACATCGCTGTTGAGATGTTGTCTCTGCGTTCAGTCATGGAATTTATGGAGCGAAGGCGCTTGGAGAGACAGTCACTCATTTGGAACTTGCTGGGAGCTTCTCCAGAAGGACCACTACCTGCCGTTCCAGATAAAGAGGCCGCTGAAACGGGGATAGGTCCACGGGACGTTTTGACATGCTTCATATACGGAGGCCGTATCGTACTAGGATCAGTGACGCCGGCTGCTTCCTGACGGCGAATGGGCTGTGCCCGCAACTGCCCTGGGTTAACTCCGTGCTGCACGATGTTGATATTCATCGGTGAGTCATCCACGTAGTAGTTGCAGGATATCCCCTGCGCTGTAGGTTCATCGTCTAAGAAACCATTGAAGGTATCTGCAGAACCTGCTGGATTACCGCACCCAGGCACCTGGGCTATCCCTCCCTTTGTGTAAAGAAATGCTTCATGATTGACTGGGCCACCAAGTGTCCCACCAGAGGTGGGCTCATGCTCAGCTCCAGCTAGGAAGTCCTGATAGTCACAATCTGTCTTTGCTACAGCAATCTGTTCGGAGAGGATGGTCTGCTTCCTCGTGTCACCCGTCACATTACTACCAATCACATTGTCTACGGCCCCGACAATTCCCTGCAATGCCCCCCGCAACGTGCCATCGTGATCAAGCGCCGTTGTTGCCTCATCTGTTAAAGCGTTGATCCCTCGCAAAAAGGCTTGCTTCATTTGGTCCTTTAAGCCCTTCTCCTTGACAAGGTACTCATTACGCTCTGCCTGTAACAGCTCTATTTCCTGCTTGTACCGCTCACGCTCCTCCTTAAAGTAAAGCTCCCTTTCCTCCCTGACTTTGGCTACAGCGTCGTGCGCATCCTCAAAGACACGCATATAACGCTTCTTATAGCATATAAGCCTCCAGTGTGTGAGTGCGTTACGAATCATCCTTCCTCTACGGAGGTCATCCATCGTGCTGATTACGTGATTGTGACTGGCTTCAAGTCGTGCGTTACGTTTCCACCGGAGGAGTAGTCTGTGGAGCATGAGTGCATCCCTTTTCTCTTGCTTAAGATGGCTAATGAAGTCTGACATTCTCTCACAACACTCTGTTTTATGGACTTCGAGAGCCTTCAAGGCCTTGTGCTCCTGTTGAAGCTTTGCCAGTTCTTGTTCGGCATATGCCAATTTCTCTCGCAATATGGAGTTATCCTTAGAGAGAAGGGCTACCTCGTGCTCAACAGATTCGCTAACACCTTGAGCATAGGCATCTAAAACCATTCTTCTAAATGTGTGCATAGCGTCATCCAAGCCCATGATAAAGATGCCATTTTGGCTTGATGGTAGTGCACCAGTTGATGCATGTTGTGTTCCATTAGAAAAAGAATGAGTCCCTGTGCCTGGCGGGGCTCCAGTAGAATGCCCGAGAGAAGTTGTTGTAATAAAAGACTGTGACGGATGCTGCTGGCTTGCATAGCTAATGTTATGCTGGGTGGTAGATAGTGCGGCAGACAGTGGGACTGGTGGAAACGAAGCGCTATTTTGATTCCGTTTAGGCTCCACAACTTGAGCTAAATACGCGTCAGAATCAGGTAATCCACTACTATGCTCGTCATGTCTTTGCGATTTGCTCAGCTCCACGTCTGGCTCGGCCTGTGGGGCGGGATCTATCAAATCAAGTTGCTCGTGTTCCTGAAACGAAACGGTTGCATTTTTGGCACTTCTTGGCCGCCGACCACATTCGTGCTTGTAGGATGTCGATAAAGACTCTAGTATGGATGCATATGAAAGGTTAGTGCTCATAAATCACCAATTGTAAAATTTCACACATAATATTTTTGGCGAAGCCCACGATTAATGAGCTCCTCTAGGTCTACCTCATCGGCACGCCGCACCCCAGCACGAGCAGGGTCAACTGCCAGTCGCGCTACGTCACAGTCTACTCAGGGCATATCCTCTTCAAATAGGGTAGCCAGCTCAGCAGCGCAAGATAGGCGCACAGTGTCTAATACTTCTCGAGCATCCTCCAGTACATCACGGTCAGCATCCAACGCTGTCAGAAACAGGAGCCTGCCGAGCACAAATGTCGCGGACATGTTTCATGCGAAGTACGGTCGCCTGGACACAGAATCAGAGCTTGAAAAGCGCATTATCAAACAGTTAGAGTCCGAGTTAATTAAGGTAAAGAAGCAGCATGAAAAATCAATTACTGAAGCAGCCAATTTACAGCGTTTATTGGACGAACGTGGAAGGGAACACGACAAGGCGGCAAAGAAGTTCCACAATCTTCGAAAGCAACTAGATGACCTTAATGATCAGCTTGCACAGACAAAAGACGAAAAAGTGCAAGTTGGAATGCTTGTAGAGCGACAGAAGGAGCAGACGCTGGCTGCCTCGGGAAACCTGAATCGGTACCACATAGCCGTTAAGGATCTTCAGAAAAAGGTCAATGAGCTTCAGGAGCAGAGGAATCTTGCAGAGACTACAAATCTGGCCATGAAGCAGGAAATTAAGAAGCTCAATTCAGAGACAGCCTCTCTAGAACAGTCTAACGCAGCACTACAACGACAAATCGACAAACTGAGTGAGTTAATGTACCTAAAGTTTGAATAGTCTCCATCGTACAGTATCGTTCCTGTCTTTGGTGTCTTTAGTATCAGTAACTCACTATGATAGCTTCATAAATTTGTTTCTGGTTAATTAAATAAACCTCTGATGGAGGACACTCACAACAGTGCTCCAGAGGTGGCTGCGGCGGATTTCAAGATTCTGTGGTTGCAGATCCTTGATTACAAGCCTGCTCCCCTCTACTTTTCCCTTCTTGACAACAGTGAGCGTGTGAATTTTTTCGTAACGGGGGTTCCTTACATCCTGACGCAGACGCATCTTAACCTTGTCTTTTCTTTCTTTGGGAGCGTGAAAGAGGTTATACTCCGAGACTTTGCTCTGAGAACGGCGCAGCCGCACTGGTCTGTCTGCGGTCCCCGCTTGCCACGGTATGCAGAAATCCGCTTTGACTCGTACCCAGACAAACTGACAGACTACACAGAAACAACTCTTTACTTTAATGGCAAGGACGTGAGTGATAAGAAGGACTCTGTCCCGCTGGAGTATAACTTTCTGTCACTTGTAGCCATGTATACACAAGCATACGTTCGGGATACTTGTATGCCCGCAGATATCCTTGCAGAAGTGGCAGAGATATTTGTGAGAAAGTACGATGCATATTTGGGAGAAGCAGCGTCTGATCGCTCTCAGAAAGATGAGGATGGATGGAAGACGCTTAGACCTGACAGCAAATACTATAGGAACACCTATGTTTCGAAGAATAAGATATTAGGAATAGATGAGGAGTACACAGCTATGAAGCTTAAACAGATGAACCAAAAGATGGTGGAAAAGGGCTTCTATAAGTTTCAGCAAATAGAGAAAAAGCAGAGCGATTTGGAGAAGCTGAGACGCCGGCATGCGGCAGATAAGGAGGTTATAGAGAGGATGCGCTGCGCTGGCCGGCTCAATCCCTTCTTGCACAACATGAAATAGCTATTCCAGGACGTCTGTCGTTTTCCTGAGATAAGTGGCAACAACGCGGGCTGCCTTATTCAGCACGAAGCGCATTCTATCAATTGAAAAGTAGATCCGTCGTTGATATTTTGATATCGCCTCTATCCGTGTTGCACGGGGAAGCGCGGGCCTGTCATTAAAGTAGGGTACTGCCACATTAGCAATGGCATAGCTCTTAAGAGGTAACGACGGAGCAATGATGGACACTTCCAAGAGCACATGTGTGGGTTTAAGAGCCACGTCAAAAGGCAGAATAAACTGAGCTGTTTGCAATAGGTTGCCACTACGAGGAATAAAAATAGCATCTGGGTGTTTGTAAAGAACAAAGCATAAGGTCGCCCAGACGAAGTTCCGCTCCATGGGGGAAATCAGCAAGCCATCAGGTTCATAGAAAAAACACTTCGCTAGCCGCTCTCTTAGTGTGTGTATAGAAGATACATTTATAACAGTATTACCAATCAATAGCAAGGGCTCTACAATGTTACCGATATAGCGACAACTACTTTGACCGAGTGCAAGAGCATCGGGGCACACAAGCTTAATTACATTAGTCCCTGTTATAAAGGCCTTCATAGCGTGTGGGCTAAACATCAATGTGTGTAGTTGCATAGCGTTTGTATGTTTAATAGAAGGTGCTGTGCAATTCGAAAACATAGGAGCACAGACACTAGCACCATCCTCTACTTGGTTGTTGTAGGTATTTGTGGGGTCTTGACCTTTCTCTGGAACAACAGTGTCTTTGGATGGAAGATATGCGCAGCCCTCGCCAAACGGCTTCTGATCTTGATGCATGCTCTGACGCAGACGAGATTGTGCTAGTATAGGGAACAGTGCTGAGGATGTTTGGTTGTAAAGGTCATTTGGAGCGCATGAAGAAGAGGTTGGCGCGGCAATAGGATCCCTGATTGCAGATACTACATATTCTGGCACAAGCCTTTCTCCACGGTGAGAGACCGATGCTGTGGAAGGTCGTATACCAGCTGTAACTTTTGGTGCAGAACATTTTGTGGGCAAGGGAGTAAGTTTGTCATAGCTTCCAAGGAGGTAACTTTTGAGATACTGATCGGCAGAGAGGTGGCCGTCCTTCAATTCATGGCTCCTTTGCTGCAGAGCCATGAGGCATGCCTGAATGAGCTTTTCATTATCTTTAAGCTGTGTCTTCAGCAATTGATTCCGCGAGTCTACTTCATTGGAGGCTTTTGCAATAGTGCGTCTCAGAATGTCTCTATCTTTGTAAAGATTCTCCAACATTCCATGGAGATCTAAATCAGTTTTCGTATCTCGAAGCGTGGCGCACAGTGAAGCTGTTTCGGTCGTGCTACTAGTAGCAGCCAGGTCAGCAAGTGTGTTACATTTTGTAGCATTGGCTGATGAAGGCCGCACCAGGCGAGTACCTTGTGTCCTTTGGCGCTGAGATTGCTCCATCTGCAGTTGCTTGAGCCGGTTATCAAACTCTCCGGCAAAAATGGGATTAGTATTGCTATGAGACGAGGCAGATGCTTCAGGGCTTGCAGAAGACTTGCTACAGCTGCTTTTCTGAGACTCTCTCCGGTGCCTTGAAGATGTAAGGGGAGACACCTGTCCACCGGTACAGCCACGATCAAGAGGGTCAGAGTGATCGCTATCGTCCAGAATGCGCTGTTGTATCCGATATACTTGCGAGGCCAAGGACTCAGCCCGCCGCTTACTCCGCAGTTCTGAGATAGAGAAGCTTTTTAGGACATCGTCACTAAGCTGGGCAAGAAAGTCATCCTGCAGCAGCCTGGTCTGGAACTCTGCCACTGCAGATAGCTGGTCAGCTTGTGGGGGCGGACTTTCGTGGGTTGGAGCTGCAAGGTAGGGCTTTACGTCAAGGATGGTTGCGTCTCGCAGTCGACGGGTGCACGTCCGCAGGCGCTCGTCGCGAGGGCGGGGGTCCAGCATACACAGCAACTTTGCTTTTCAAAGAGAGCTAGAGAGTCTATCCATTCTGCTTCCGGGCAAGCGTGACAGTTTGGCCGAGTGGTTAAGGCGATTGACTAGAAATCAATTGTGCTCCGCACGCATGGGTTCGAATCCCATAGCTGTCGCTTTCGCCCCCAAAGAAAAAAGATGCCCGACTTCGTCACCGAGCGCCTCGCCAAGTTCAACGCCCTGCGTGAGAGGCACGCCGCCTCGCAGCCCACCGGGGGCCCTTTCACTGTCACGCTGCCCGATGGAAAGACCACCGAGATCCCCGCAAGCTTTACAGCCCTCGACGTGGCCAAACAAGTCGTCAAAAACAAGAAGGTCTACTCCAAGTTTCTGGCCGCCGTTAGGGACGACGAGGTCATTGACATGTCTGCAAGATTAGGGAAGACCTGCAAGCTCGAGTTCCTCACCTTTGACGACCCTCGGGCAAGAGAAGTTTTCTGGCACTCCTCTGCGCATCTTCTGGGCTATGCACTTGAAAAGACATTCCAGGCCCACCTAGGTCATGGCCCGGCTATCGACTCCGGCTTCTTCTATGACGCCTTTTTCGAGAACTCTCTGAAGATGGAGCCCGAGAGTCTCCTGCAGCTCGACAAGGCAGCTGCAGAAATCGTGAAGCAGGCCGCAGCAGCACCTGGCGATTCTCCTGTCCGCCGCTTCACACGTCTCGAGGTGACCAAGCAAGAGGCTCTCGATCTCTTTAGCTATTCGAAACTGAAGTCAGAGCTTATATCGGATCACGTGCAAGATGGAGAGATGTGCAGTGTGTACCAGTGCGGGGATTTTGTCGACTTCTGCCGCGGCCCACATATTCCTGACTTGGGTCTTATCCAAGCCTTCAAGTGCATGTACTCCTCTGCTGCCTACTTCAAGGGCGATCAGAACCGCGAGTCTATGCAGCGCGTTTATGCGGTTGCCTTCCCCAGCAAAGACCAACTAGATAAGCACATTGAACTTCTCGAGGAGGCAAAGAGACGAGATCATAGAAATCTAGCCAAGGAAATGGATCTTTTCATGACGCACAAGTATGCTCCGGGCGCGCCAATGTTCATGAACAATGGCACACGGATCTACCGCAAGCTCGAAGCTTTTATTCGCGAGCTCCTCCATGAGTTTGATTATGAAGAGGTCATGACACCGACGTTTCTCAACACTGATCTTTGGGGTATCTCTGGGCACCTGCAGCATTATAAGGAGAACATGTTCTTGTTAGAACGCAAGGAGAAAACCGATCCCCAATACGGTCTGAAACCCATGAACTGTCCGTGTCACTGTCTCCTCTATAAGAACCAGCACCACTCAGTACAAGAGCTTCCGATACGGATGGCAGAGTTTGGAGTTGTGCACCGCAATGAGCTTTCCGGTGCCCTCTCTGGCCTGACTCGTGTAGTGCGTTTTGAGCAAGATGATGCACACATTTTCTGCACCGTTGATCAAATAGAGCAGGAAATGACTGGCTTGATCGAATTTATCAAACGCGTTTATACACCCTTCGGGATTGACTTTGCTCTATCCTTATCTCTGAGACCAGAGAAAAAGATGGGCTCCGATGAGCTCTGGGATCGTGCAGAGGGCACCCTTCGCAAAGTCTTGACGAACACCGGCCTCGATTTTAAGGAAAATCCCGGGGATGGAGCGTTTTACGGCCCGAAGATTGATGTCCATCTAACAGATGCCTTAGGAAGACAGCATCAGTGCGGTACCATTCAGCTTGACTTCAACCTCCCCAGTAAGGATAGGTTCGACCTGCTTTACAGTGTTTATGACGAAAAGACAGGCAGCGTGAAGCAGGAGCACCCAGTGATGATTCATAGGGCTATCCTTGGATCCGTTGAGCGCTTCATGGCCATCCTTATTGAAAACACGGGAGGCCGCTTTCCCTTTTGGATCAGCCCTCGTCAAATTGTGGTCATTCCTCTCCATGGCGAAGATATCGTTGCATACGCCAAGACCGTCCGCGAGCGATACCATTCAAAGGGCTATTTTGTAGATCTCGATATATCTTCCGAAAAGATGGAGAAGAAAATAGCTGTTGCATGGAACAAGAAGTACAACTTCATTATGGTTGTGGGAGCTCAGGAGAAAGGAACCTGCAGTGTAGCTCTTAGTGGCCGCACGCTTAGCGCTTACATCGGTGAAAAGGACAACCAGCGAGCACGCAAAGTCCTTACCCTAGAGGAAACGGACGCCCTGCTGGCAGAGCTGTCGAGTGGCCGCGCGAACATGTGACGGTGGCGAACATTAGTAAATTGAAGAGTGACACGCGGCCATTCACTAAAGTAGATCATTTAGCAAGCTTCCAGAACATGAGGCATGCATCGCGGAAGTTAACCTTGTTGGCCTCCTTGCTCTGGAATCTGCTGAGGATGTCGTCGCGCATAACGCCCCAGCACGCGTAGTGGACCCAGGCGAACTTGTGAAGATCATGGAAGAGCCCGGTGATGCGGGCAGCCTGCTCGTAGGCCATATCATCGTTCTGCGTCTCTACTGCGCTGTGGAACGCGTAGGCGACAGCACGAGCAGGGGCCAAATTGTAGTAGTGTGCAATGCACAAACCTCTAGCATTCTCCTTGTCGGCATACCTTGTCTCAATTGCCTCTTGGACGCTCTTGCCCGTAAGGACCTCAAACCTGTGGTTAATCTCCTTGTACTCGTCGGCGGTGCTCGTGATAATCAGACGCACGACGGCCTCGTGGTCGGGCTCGTCTGCATCTATGAGGTTGTGCTTTAGAACCTCGGCATCGCTGGCCACCGATCCGCGGGGGGTACGGTTCTCTCTGATGGCAAGGTGGCAGAGGTAGCTCGCAGCAGAGGTGAGGGGTATCTGGTCCACGAAGTCTTGAAGGAGGTCATTTCCGGTCTTCTCTTTGTAGGCCTGGGCCAGCTTGAGGCGCTCATCGGGCGTGGCAATAAGAACGACGTCGTGGATAGCACGGAAGTCGTTAACATTCTTCATGGCCTTCTTGATAACGTTCACACGAGCGCTGATGTTGCAGTCCCAACCGAGAGCCATAACATCCTCGTATGGGCCATTCTTGATGCACTTCTTGAGGAAAGCAATGAACTCCAGCCCGGTGGTATCCTGGAACTGCGTGCGAAGCTCCTTGCGCTCCTCTGCGCTCCACCTTGACGTGAAAGTCACGAGCTCCTCCTCGTTTTTGGCTTCCAAGATGGCCTTGACCTCAGGGATAGCGTCTCCGTAGGACATTATTTTAAAACAGTCACACCTTTTCAAATGCTTTTGAATTCAAATTATGGGCACAGGGAAGGGATGCCCCACAAAGTAGCGCATGCGCGCGCAACTGGCTCGCGGAATACACGTCTTATATCGCTTCCAATGTCTCCATACCTTTTGTAGTGTTCTCCTATATCCTTCACTCTATCATAGCAGAAGGCTGTAACACGTATGAGTCTATCGTGGTCTCCATAGTCTGCAACAGCCCTGTATATCAAGAGAGCAGCCGCCTCGGCCTGGCCTAGCAATGCTTGAGATGCTAGCTGGCAAGCAACAAGATCGTGCCGCCTGAGGGTGTTGCTAAGAACCGACATGAGGGTGTCTCCAGCCTGGCGCTCGAACGCATTCAAAGTAAATTGCCAGGTGCTGGGGTCTGCGGTCCCTATTATGAAGGCTATTGCATCTATATCCTTCGTCCGAAGAGCAACAAGGAGCTTGTTAGCGTCAGCTTCAGGGTCAGTGCTCCGCAGCTTCTGTGACTCTATCCACAGGAGGCAAAGTTTCGCCCAGAGGGACGGAAGCTTCGAAAGAACTATGTTGAGCGTGGCTGGGAGCTGAGTCTTGTAGGTGGTACTGTACTCCTTGCAGATTGTATGCCATTCATTATTCCCCGCAGAATCACTTACTGTAGGCGATAGAATAATGGTATCGATCAAGGAGGGCGGATTAATGTTATCTACGATACCCGCATGAATGGTGCGGACTCGTGCCGCGGTGTTCATGCTCCACACTAGGGTCATAAGGAGCTGGATATGTCCCCTGGGCAGATAGAAAACGATAGAATCAGCTAGAGAACGGTTGTGAATAGAAAGGTAAGTGGCGGATAAATCCTTTTTGTCTTGTGCAAGCTTGCTTAGTTGCACAAGCTCTTGCTCATCCTGCGTCGTGAGACATCTGTGCAATTCGGTGCATAAAGAGATGTGGTCCATAGAGTTTTTTGCTTGACTGGAGACTGTGACTTCCCACACATTTACTGACTGCTGACTACTTTTACTAGATTACTAAGTTTACTAAGTTATAGAACCCCCCACATGGTACAACAGGCCTCGCCGAAATTGCTCTTGAACACTCTGCGAATATCGCGTGCTAGATTACCGAAAATAGCGTAGTTAAGCTTCACGTGCGGGCATTTGTCGTAATACATTGCCGTTGCGCGTGCACATCTCTCAACGTCACCCTTCTCTTCGACCGCCCTGAAGATCAGGTACGCAGCGCCCTCGTTGGCATTGTTCAGGAAATGATGTGCAGTATGCGCGGCCGTTAGATCGTTCCCCTTGAACACTGTGCGCATACAATCGTGGACAGTGCGCGACGTGGAAATTTCAAAGGCCTTTGAAATGCGCGCCCACTCATCGGGAGTTGTGGTGCCCAAGAGCTGAACAACGGCGTCCTCGTCTGCTTTCTTGCCACTGAGCGCCACGCGAAGCGCCTCTGCGTCTCCGGCGGGGTCATTTCGGGGTGCTCGACGAAATGCTATCCAAGAGAGGCAGAGGCGCGCCCAAAATGTCTTCGACCCAAGCTCTTGGAGCAGGTCGTTTGATAGATCGCGTCCAGTGCTGTTCTGATAGTACCTAGTAATGTAGTCCCATTCGTCCGGATTCGTTGTCAAAATATAGTCACATATTGCCTTTGGATTTTTGCCACCCTTCATCAGGGTTGTAAGATTTTGCGCCTTCATCTCTGGATACGGCTCCCAGGCCATTGACATAAGACTTTGGAAGGGTCCTTTTTTGCAGTACATCTTGATGGCCTCACTTATGACGCGACCATGGTGCGCTTGGAAGGCGTTGGAAATCTCCTGACGTTCTGCAGTTTTGTACCTCGCTGTTATCTTAAGCAAACCATCGTCGTTGCCATCGATTAGATGACGATTCAGCTCGTCTGCAACCTTGATAAAATCGACCATTTGGTTTTTATCTGCTCGCGTGTTTGTAAATTGACAAGGACAGATATTTTTGTCAACTTTTTTGTTAATTTTACTCTTTTCATAGAATTTTTTCATCTATTTGGCGGACGATGTCTCTGGCCGATATTTCCAGTAAACGGGACAAGTTGATCTCCGTCCTGGAAGCAGCGCGAGAGGAAGTAAAGAAACACAAAAAGTCTATCGCTAGTTGCAACCACGAAAGCTTCGACTGTAATGCAACCATGAAGGGTCTTTACGATACCAAGACAGTGATCGTTATGGCTCTAGGCGAAAACGACAGTCTCATAGAAGATATAAACACGGCTATATCACAGGAGGATAACATTCTTAGCGAACCTTCTACGAAAGGACGACTCTTGTTTGCGGATTTGCTAGCTTTGAAAGAGAGTTTTTTAGCGACTAACGATCTCACAGATACATCCATTATAGAGCTCAAGTCATTGCTGGCACGGATAAAACCTGACTTGCTCAACACCGCACTGGAGATGGACAAGCAAGTTCCACATTACTTGCCCACCCGGTCCACCCCAGATATTAGCGCGTCTAACGATCGCCGGTCGTTCTTGAGTAATCTGGATTCGTCCCGTGATGAAGGGCCTCAACCAGCTTCGGCAAAGGACGAATCAATGACTCACAAAGCTGACACTCTTCCATCTTCTGATTTGTCCGCTAAAGATGCTTATAACAAATTGGTATATTCGCACATCCCTGTTATCGATCACTATATGACTGCGCCAAGAAGCACGGAGTGTGTTGAAACAAAAGATCAAGCGTCTGCACAGAGAAGCGACTCCATAGCAATGCAGCAGGAATCGCAAGCTGATGCAGCAGCAACAGCCAAAGATATGGCCACAAAGCTGGAACGTCGCAAGAATCGAGTGACCGCTGCACTGTCTGCTGCAGATTCGATTCGCAAAAACAGGTCCAAGCCTGCCTCCGCATTGTGCACTGATTCGGAGAAGGCTGCTCCTAAAGTGAGAATTAATCTATCCTCTTCTTATAACCGAAGACCTAACGCATCAGTAACCACTGACGATGATGCCCGTGTAGACATTGCAGCACGACGTGTTATGTATAGACAACTTATGTTTCCAAGGTCTCAATCTGAACGGCGCCCTAGACGACAACAGCACACGAGTTCGAGCCTGCCGCCGCGCTCTCTGGAATCAAGTCTCTCTCTTAGACAAATGTGTACCCCGAAGCTTGCTGTCTCAAAGCGCCCTCTGTCTTCCATCTGTTCCACTGCACCGCATCCGTCTCATAGAGATTACACTACAGAGCGAGAAGCCAAGGGCTGGCCAAAAGCGTCAGACAAATATGATATAGCACAGATTATGCATCCACCAAGAAACATATATGGGTGCAAGAAGCAAATGAAGACAAGCACATGGAAGCGCTATAAGTATCAGGAGGAAGCATGTGCTCCATTCCGCAAGCTCAATCCTACGTATGACAATTCTCTCCACGGTGGGTTACGCTATGATAAGGACCCCACACTTACCTACTCCGTAAAAAACAGGCCTCATTACCACCCATCATGGAGAGGCCCAGAAGATGTGCAGCAGGAAGTAGCGTCCAAAATACATTACGAAGGATTGCACAGTAAAGAAGATTATGTCCACTCAAGCATAGAGCATAACCCATTCCATAATAATGCGACCACGTCAGCGACGCGCGCTGGGCGCAAAGAACTTACGGAGGATCACTATAGCAACGGTGCTAATCGACGTAAGCTCGCTTGGGACCACTCTGCAAAGAAATATGAGAGCAGGATGGAGGTAGCAGAAAGAAAACACACAACAAGGCGGCACCACACCTACGTTACTCACACCCCTCAGCCGACCATCGAAGAGCCAGGCCTATATAGCATAAAAAAGACAGTGTACTCTCTCAAAAACCAACTCAACGACGCGAAGGCAGAAATCAGATGGCTTAAGAACCAGATGGCGTCTCAGAACAACACTGTAGCCTCCTTTGGAAACTCTATTACCGATGTTGCCAAGGGCATCATGAGGGATAATGTTCGTGTTGCATCGTTAGTCCGCGCCAACAATGACTTGGTGAAAAGGGAATCAAACCTGCTAAACGCCAAAATTACTGCAGTTAAGCTCAAAGCGGAAAGGCAGCACAACGCTACAAGAGCAGAATCCAGAAGCTATCGTGAGCAAGATACTGCACACTATAGTAACACTGACAGCGAAGTAGAATCTGACGATCACCACTTTGTTGATCTACTTGCGCCATACAAGACGGGCGACGGGATTATGAGTGCCCAGAAGCCAGTCGTTGTTCTCGGCCACATTTTAGACAGTCAAGAAAATGTCATGCTGCGTCGTAGTGCAGATGCAATTGACACGTTGTCAACCATGTCGACAGCCCTCGACAGTCTGCACTTGTCTAACTCACGTTCACAACCAACATCTGCTCTTCAGGACTCTAACAAATCGTTGCAGCGACCTAAGATCAACCCTACTCACGACATACTATCCATACCAAGCACTCAGGATGCATGCAAAAAGGGCTTGAGAAGAACATGTGATTGCTCGCGGTGCTCACGTAACATGAATAGAGGATTCCTGCAAACAATGGGGGACTTCGCAGATCCACCACTGACGGGATCAGCGCCCAAAGCCAACGCAGACTCCATAGCATTTGCACAGAAAATGATGTCAGCAGATATGGCCGATGGATACTATCAGCGTAGATTTGTTGCTGCTGCTGTTAAGAATATATCAAATAGACCCAGGTATGATTGAAACTTCTACCTATTGTAAATTTATGACTGTTAGATCTTGCTTGTTCACTTAAATTCAATGACTACAAATCCCGTTGTAACTAGCCTCCTGTTAACTATCAACGAGATATCCCAACGCCAGGACACAACAATGCGTTTTGTTGAGCGGATAACGAAGCAGCTAGGTCATTTAAAAGGCGTAGTAGAATCCAGTCAGGGCCCGTTCCCAGGCTCCAAGATGACAAAAGAGGAGTTAGCTACATCGTTGGGAGAGATACTAAAATACATAGAAGCTAATTTATTAGAGACTAACGATGTTCGTGAGCTGCTTTCAGGCTTGGAGGAGACACTTAATGGAATTGGTTCATCGTCAGACAAAGCCCTATTGAAAACCAAGCTGAGCCTAGGTCTTTCTGATTGCTACCTTATAATGGAGGGACTTCTTGCAGCGAAAGACATAGGGCAATACATCCTATTAAATACTGACAAAGAAACTAAGCAAGACACGCCTTCAGAATTAGATACCGATAAGCAAGATGATGAGCTTTCCATTCACGTTGATATATTATCAGAGAGCCTCGCCGATGAAGCGTCCTTATTGACAGTGGGAGAAAAGCTACCTGACCTTGAACGACGAGTCAAATTCGATCACGATAACGGGTCCTCTCTCAGTAGCCTTCCTGAATCAACTGTGCTGACTAGTTTGACTAGCGTCTGCCCTGCTGGATCACCTAATTCTGCGAAGAGTGCTTCAAAAACATCTATACAAGCAAAATTAGAAGAGTTTCTAGCAATTAGAGCTAGTGCAAAACAGAAGAAGCCCGAACTTGTCACCAAGCTTCCTCCAGCTGTGCCCCAACAACATGGAAAGAACCCCCCGATCTCATCTCTCAACCTAAGCGTGACCAGTGTGGATTCCAATGCAAATGATAGCCTGATAACAGAGCCAGCTCCCTTGGCCGTTAGTGCCAGTGTGCTAGACCCCACGGAGCCACAGAATGGCCGCCAAAACATCGCACCAATACAATCTCTCAAAACCCTGGAATCTGTCTCAGAACTAGAACAGCGAAACCTGGAGAAGAAACATAACCCTATGACTAACCCACAGCAAGCATTGATAAAGTCTAATCGAAGTAATAAAAGTTGCACTGGGACTAGTACACGCTCTGGAAGTACTAACAGGACCCCCTTAAGAGCCATAAATACACCTCACCAGAGCAGCCAACCAGCCCAGACTGCAGTAAGACCTAGCTCTGTTAAGAAGTCTAGACCTATAGTGTTATTGGACAATGTTTCTTTGAGCATGGCGACTTCACCGCAACAGGTTCAAGCCACGGAGCTTACAGGCCATCCTGTGAAGAATTATTCGGGTAAAATATCCAAGCGGACTCCGTGCTCGATGCCTGCCACGCCGACAAAGTTTATATCTCCTAAGCAGCCTCAAGCGAAGTCATACTATAGTACCCCTACCTCCACAACACCAACCTCAGTACAGGTGGGGCGTTTACCCTCGCCACCCAAGCTATCATCTCGTTCTCCATCCTCTGGTTCCCCAGCAACGGCCTCTTCGCAGGCTCGGCTAGTTATTAAAAACATGGAGGAGCAGGCTTTGAAACAGGACGCTATAATAAAGGGTTTGGCTACAGAGCTACAATCTATGAAACGGAAGGTCGAGGACATGCAGACTGATTATAGGCAGCAGGAAGAGGAAGTTAAGCAATTACTCTTAGAGTCTTCCAAGGTCCAGAATGAGTACGAAGAAAAAATCCGTAAACTCAAAGATGAGCTCGCTGAGCAAAGAGATCTAGCAATTTATTGGAGAGAAAAGGCACAGCAATGGGAGGAGATGAATCAGGCTTTAAGCCACCAGATTGCAATGTTTAAATACAACAAAGATGATTCCATTATACCCGTTTCACATGGGGACACCGATGGTGAGAATTCAGAAGGTGCCAGCTCAATTGCAGGTACATATGCACACAAAAGCAGAGAGCCTACACACTCTACGTCCATAATTCAGCAACCCAGCAAAATACAGAGTAAGCCAGACTACACTACCTTATCTGATGAGAAGTACAACAGGCTAGAAACAGACTATCTTAATGGACGCCTAGGAAACTATTACAGCCTCAATAGAGAAAGATTTTCACAGAAGACCTTATCTGTGATAGATCTATACAAGATTCTTGGTAACTATGATCGTCAAATTGCAGAGCTGATGCATTCAAACAAAGATTTAGAGGAAAAGTTGGATGTATATCAGGGTCTGTTTAGGGCTATTTCAGGGGCCGATTGATATCTTTTGAGAGTCCTGATGTGATGCGGATAAGAAAGTTGTTTTATCTGCTTCGGAAGAGAAGAGATAAAAACTTCACATCACAAGCATGCGCCGAACATTTGTGCTCGTTGCGTCATCCGATATCCTTTGCGTCAGTTTCTGTCTTTCTCGTATCACCGGTGCTCCTCTTACAGCAACAACATTTCGCGCTCCCTCTGACGAAACTGCTGATCTTCGTCGACAACTGTTTTCTGGCCTACTCTCCGTCAGAAACAGGGTGGTCTTGCCCTGGATAGATATTATTAGTGAAGATAATGCGTCTTTTTGCGTGCTGACTAAGATGTCGACTGGTATGCCTCTGCCGATTTTTTGGAAAGTATATAGGGCAGTTGAGGGCTCTGATGCTGCTTTCAGAGTGATTCGTTTATTAGTAACATTTATACTCACTGTAGAAAATCAAGTACAATCTTCACTTATAAAAATATTGGTGTACAGCTTAGCCAATTGTCACGACTTAACTGTTAACGGAGATGGGTTCCTCGTGCTGTATATAGATGGGCCCAAGCTAATTAGTCGTTTGCCACTCGTTATGAGACCAGTACTTGGTCTTCAACAGCAGTTTCTCTGGCGTATAATGACTCACCTTCTCAAAGACCCAGATAGAGTTGGTGATACTACAGTAGAGCCTCCATCACTGTCTCAATTACACGGTTGGCCGGATAAGGTACTTTACTTTTTGAGGGATTTGTGTGCATATCCGGTTGTTTTGTCTGTAGGTGTTGCTGATACTTGCTCTTATCTAAGCAGCTATCCCAACCCTTGGCACATCCCCTTGCACACACTGCGGGCAAACCCGGTTTCAAGCTCCCTCAACTCGGTACAATCGTCCGAGCTCTTTGGGGAATCTATGGAGCTGCTCAACACATACATCGATATGAACTCTCGGTTGCGACAGCCTGAGTTCAAGGGCCTCCTACTTACAGCCGAGATATACCCGTGGAAGATTCCCGTTGGTGCTCTGGCCCGAGCATATATGTACGGCAGGTCAACTCTTGCTGTGGAGGAAGCATTCTCCTTAGCCATGCAGCGAGGCAACTACGGCATCCTGGCTGGCATGGCACACCTTTGTAAGTCAACCAACATAAAGCTGACATCTCTTATGCTGGAAGTTCTGCGTCAAGCAGATCCTGATGTCTCATGCTGCAGCTTCGTCTTATCTGAAAAAGATAAAGAAACCTTATGGCTGAACTCCACACATGGGTATTCTGCACTTATGTTTGCTGTATTGACACGCAATAAGACAATAGTCGAATGCATTTTGCCCCATGAAGTGACTATGACGAATGCCTGCGGACACAGTGCCCTCGCCATTGCCCGGCAGCTTAGGCTAGAGCCTATATGTGCTGTGCTTACGCGCTACCTTCCTACTTATGATGCATTTGGAAACACCTATTTACACACGGTTGTTCAAGAGAACGGCGAGAATACAGATGCAATTAAGCAACATATATTTCTTTCTCAGATACAAAATAGCGCAGGAGAGTACGCCATCATGATAGCCTACCGGCTAAAGAAATATAAGGTCCTTTCTGTCCTTTCGCAGTCTGAAGGCCGCCTCGTCCATCCAGTGACTATTTGTCATAACAATCTATCTATCTCTAAACTCTCTGTACTTCAGCTTGCTGCTCTTGATGGGGATGGTGCCGCTGTGCGTGCTGTTAAGCAATACGGTCACTCTGTTGTCACCGATCATGGCTACACTGCATTGATGTTTGCCGCCGAAAGAGGACACAGTGACATAGTTCGTGAGCTGGCTCCATTTGAGGCACGACAGACAAATGACGCGGGAAAGACAGCCTTGTTGTTGGCTATATGTGCCGGACACTTGGATGTGGTTAAGGTCTTGGCGGACTATGAGACAAGGCTAACAGATAGCACAGGGTGGTGCCCTCTTGAACAGGCAGTGAGACGTAGCAGAATAGGCATGGTCGAAGTGCTTGCACCATATGAGGCCAAGATCTTTGGGGCAAGGGCCATCGATGCAGTTGACTCATCAGCATTTATTGCACAGGCTAACCGCCGTTCTATTAAGGAGATCATCAGAAAATACATGTGATGCCTTTAGACGAGAAAAGCAATCCTACCTTAATTTACAAGCGTTCTACTTGGAGTCCTCATTGAACAGAGTAACGTACTGTGATAAAACTTCTTCTAAATTATCATCTCCAAAGATGGCAAATGGCTTCAAGACAATGCATTGAAAAAGCCGACCCATGGCACACACAGGTCTTGATATTTCATAAGGCGTTATGGTTTCCATGTAACTATCTAAGGTAGCTCCGCAGGTCATTATTACGCGCCACTTCTTCTGTGCAAGTGGCTTCTGAGCACCCCCTGCCCATTCTATAGTGAACACACAGTCCAGAAATGCCTTCATAGATGCTGGACAATTATACCAATACACTGGGTACTGGAAGAAGATGGCGTCTGCCTTTTCGATGCGTCGCTGCTCCTCGGCTATCTGCTCTTTGGATAAAACGAGGGCGGGATATAGCCCATCGAGATGCCGTATCTTTATATTCTTCTGGTCGCGCACCTTGTCTAGGAGGGTCTTATTTACTTTGGAAGCCGGCTCCAACGGGTGTGAATAGTAAAGAAGAATCCTCATTTTTATGTACCTTCTCCAATCCAAGGTTGTGCCTTTGAAACATGCAAACCGGAATTTACTTAAAGAGCTTCAAATAGTTATCCACTAGTGTGTCCTTGTCAGTGTCAGCAAAAACGATGAAAGGCGGGAGCGGATCGCACTTGCAGAACTTGAAGCTTTGGTTAAAAGGCTTAGCTAAGTCGCTTGCAGAAAGTTCTCCGCCATAGCCTTCCATCTTCCCTCCGCACGTGCAGATGACACGGAACTTCTTGCCCGCGATCACGGCCTTGGAGCCGAAGGCCCACCCGTACGTCAGCACGCTATCCATAAAGACCTTAAGAGAAGGCGGTGATGAATACCAATGCACGGGGAACTGGAAGAAAACTGCGTCCGCCTTCTCTATGATCCTTTGCTCCTCGCTGACCTGCTCAGGGGTCATATGCAGGCTCGGGTAGAGCTCATCCAGCCAGCGGACTTTTACGTTTCCGAGCTTCTTGGCCTCCTCAACGAGGGGTGCGTTGACGACGCTCTTCAACTCCGCAGGGTGGGAGTAGTAGAGGACGATACGCATTTTTAAACGGCTGAATAATATCAACCACAATAATTTGAGGCAAATTGTTTATAGCCATATGAGGCAAACGATAAGAATGACCCCAAAGACAATCGCTAATGTCAAATATTTGCAGTCATTGTGACGGCAGAGAAGGCGAGAGGCTGCCTTGGCACGGCCCGTCGCAACCCTTGCATCTGCAGTTCGAGCATCAATATCCGCACCCAGGTCATCAATCAGTCGAGCATCTTCGTCTAGCCCAGCACGGAGTAAAATCTGGTGGTGTTTGAGCTTTGTAACAGGGTCTTGCAGATTCGCTGCCATGGAAACCAGCTCCTGCATCTTAGAAGCCTGGTCGTGCGCCCTTTCCCATGCATCTATGGCTGCCATTCCCCCTCCCATCTTCTTCGCACTCATGGAATTGATAGCTTTTACAACTGTCTGCTTGAGCGCCACATATTCTTCAATATACCCATTGAGGATCTTTGTCTGCTGCATGGTGTTCGCATTCTCTAACGACCCTCCCGCCTTCATGTCCTGGTGACGAGCCTTTTCGCTGGAGTGAACCCCGGTGCCGCCACCTGTATCCGCGCCTTCGTCGGTGCCAAGGCCAGCATCAGCGTCATCCTCTAGGCTCGGACTCACGCCTTGCAGATGTGTCTTCGTCTCCAAAAGACGCATTAGGGTCGTCTCGATCTCCCGCCGGATAATGGTGCCCTGGCTCTCCAGCCCCGGGTCGAACCCTACAGACCGAGAAACGGCCTGTGTAAATCCTTGCACACGTGATTCCAGTGCAGGCAGCTCCCTGCTAATCTTATAGTCGATCTCAATGAAACTGTACATTAAGTTTATATCTTGGCGTTTTCAGATTTCACACTACAGCCGTCACTCGCGCACGTCTAGAAGCACCAGGTAGGAGAAAAGAAAGACCAAGAGAGACATTATGATCTTAGACATGTGGAAGGGAGACCGAAAAAGGAACAACACCCATGCTGAATAGAACAGGCCCATGCTTATGGCATAGGCACACACGTTGCGTTGCGATATACAGAAGTTGAAAATGTGAGAGTGGAAAATACGACGGCATACACAGACAGAGCAAAAGTAGCAATACGTCCCCTGCTCAGGTTTCAAACAGGTTGAGCACAGATGGCTAGCCTCTGGTAATGCACTATCAGGTTTCACGGAAACCAAAACTCCGGCTAAATGCTGTCTATTTTCCTTGTCGCTGGAGAGGTCAAAAGGTGGCCGAGGTTCTACTGTATAGAGGCAGTTGGCAGATCGGGTGAGCGACCTCGACACCAGAACATCACAGATCCTATAGACGGGTTCGGCGCTCATGATAGCCGAACAGGATGCAGAAGTGTCCGGAGTGTGTGTGCCTGTGCCTGTGCCTGTACCTGTACTTGTACCTGCATCAGTGTGCTCTTCTATCATCCTCCGGCTATTCCACATGTCATCGGAGAACCTTGAACTTTGCATGAAATCGTTCTTCGCTAGCGATATTGATGCCGTGCGGTCCAACCGCAAAGCATAGGTAGTAATAAAGAACAATGCTGAGAAGACAACAGATACTAAAGAGCCTATTTGCAAGGTAAAATTATAGAGCCTGTGCTCAAGCAAGGTGCGTAGAGATGGTAGTAAGAAAAGCATGTAATTCTGCACCCGTTTTGAAGTATGTGTCTGTATCGGCAGCTGAGTAGATTGATCTAAAAATAACTCGATCAGAATGCTGATTCCCAATCCAAGAAGCGATGCGGCATACAGCAATATACCTGTATATCTAGATAGGCAGTCCAGGACTATGCCATACGTTGAACAGGTATTAGTGAGTATCTTGCAAGCAAGGGAATTTGGACACACGCAAGACAGATCAGAATTCATACAACACCCCTGCTGCATGAACCTCCGAGCTGACCTCTTATCAGATGCTGTGTAAACCATCTGCATAGAGCCGCAAATTTTCGCTTTGCAGAACTTCTCCGCTGCCCGAAAGAGCATTTTCTTTTCTGCGATTGACCTAGATATTATGAAATTGTAAATGTTGTGATACTGTTCTGTGTAAAATAAAAGCTCAATTACGCTACATCCCCTTGCAAAGGCATGTAGCAGAGGTAACTGCATATGTGGCTCATCATCTATTTTTAGGGGAAGCATTGTTACCAACAGGTCGTCGGCTATAGAATGCTTTATCAAAAGGGACACTATGTCTCTGTTACTATAGAGTATGGCAAGGGCGAGGGCATTCGTCTGCAGGTTTCCAAACCTGTGCTGCAGCTGCTTGCGGAGTGCAGTTTCTCCACCGATCTCCTTAATTAAATGGACTATGGCCGATACACAGTCAATAGAGTTAGACGAAATAGCACAGCTTAAAAGATTGATGTTCGTGTCTTTTGTGAGTACGTCAATCATCCCCTTGTCATACTGCAGCAGCCAGAGGACACAGGAAAGGCGACCATTGAGGGCGGCAGCATGTATAGGAAGCATGCCGCAGGTGTCATAAGCATAGCAAAGAGGTGTCTCCGTGTCCTCGCCAGTCGTTAATTTGGAGGACATTAGGTATGAAAGACTATCAAAGTTGACCGCAGAGAGTGTGTGCATATCATTCGTTATGATAAGGTCGCGAAAGCTAACCCCTCCTCCAAACTGTGAATAGACTGAGAGAATATACTTAATAATAAATGTGTTACCACGAATAATAGCTAACTGGAGGAGCCTTGTAACGTCCACAACATTCATTATGCTAAGTACGCAGTGGGCCTGCAATGTTTGACTAAACAAGCTTGTAGCGAATTCATCTATGTAGAAGTTTGCTGAAATCACCATGGGCTCAGCAGAATGTCTATCAGTCAGTGCCGCCAACTCAATGGGCAGGAGCTGAAGAGAATTCGAGGACCTCGTCTCAAGCAGGAGTCGGAGTGAATCTGGACACGATTTTCTTAGGTCAAGTAAGCTGTATGTTGTGATCTCTCCTAACACTATCAGATGCGCAATGTTGAATCCCCGCAGCGTAAAAGAACCGATATCATCTATTGATGCATTCTGAATACTAGCAAATCCGTTCTCGTTCAGACGCTGTACAGCTCCGGTGGGATTGTCCGGTTTAGTATCCTCGAACTTACGGCAATCTAAAACAGCTCTGGCCAGGGTAGAGTCGACATTATCCTCGAGCTCTTCGAGGGTCGAGGGAGCGACTACACAAAGATCATTTTGAGTCCTAATCCCCATGCGCCGGATTAGCTCAAAAGGCATTAATATTTTAGGGTGCCATAAAACAGAAACGGCCGCTTCAAAAAATCGGCACTGTAAAAAAAGCCGTTGGGCCGAAATTTGAGGAGCCATGGGTATGACACATTCCTTCATCACAGAGTGGGATAATACCCCCAAGACCAAGATGCGTTTTAGTCGGGAGGTAAGCTTTGCAGAACTCCAAAGGGTGACCAACTGTATGGCTAAGCACGAAATTCCCAGCATTGAGGACTTTATATGGGTGCTTAAGGAAGCTGCTAAGGTTCTTTCCACTTTACCAAATAATGTCCACGTGATTCCTGAGCCTAATGACCGCCTCATCTTTGTTGGGGATTTGCACGGGTGCTTTGAGACATTGATACGTTTATTCCTTGGGTATCCGCAACAAAATATCCCCAGAACGGGCTTCCCAGGTGAGATAGTTGATGGCAGACGCCTTGTTTACTTTTTCAACGGAGACTTTGTTGACCGAGGAGGGTCTGGATATCAGATTGTCTTCCTCCTGGCGTACATGGCAATTGCCTGCCCTGGTTCGTGCTATCTAAATCGCGGAAATCACGAGTCCGAAATGTTCGGTCTTTCGACGCAGGGCATGCTTGGGAACAAGTTCATGTCGGAGATGGCTGGTAAATTTTCTGGAATGGACCCGGAGACGTACAGGCCAGCTATTGGCGAATTCTTTTGCGCCCTTCCCATTGCCCACACCATAGATCGCAATATATTTATGGTGCACGGTGGGGTACCCCTGGGAGACGACCTCAGTAATGTTCCGCGAGCTGCTCCGCAATCGTATTTCAGCACCGGGTCGCCTGCCCCCATACCCAAGGGGCTCAAGCCATACAAGATAAGCAACCTGGACAACCTAACTCCCTCACGCCAAAAAACAACGAACTTTGAAGACAATCCTCGCAAACAAAATGAGCTCTGGCACTCCTTTGTCTGGAACTATGACCGTCTACCGTACAGCGCCGACTTCATGGAAGAGAATAATTTCAAGACTATGGTTCACTCACATACGGCCACCCCGTTCCACCAGATAACGTCCTTCCTTCCGCTTGAGAAAACCTCGGGAGAAAAGTACTCCATCCAATCGGTCATTAAGAACCAGGAGATGTTCGATAGAATGAAGGCTTTCTTCGCGAGCCACCAACTAGCAAACAGCAGTAAGCTCTCCATCTTGGAAATCTTCTCTTCTCCCACTAATAACGGGACTGTGTACGCAGCCTGTGTTGACGCCGTCCCCGGGGAGCCAGGCCAACGCATCAACTACGACCCCTTCCAGTGGACTTACATCTTCTTGGGTAACGCATCAGAGTATAACTTTATACAGCAAGGAACCACGTACTAGTATCAGCTCCCATGGTGTGTTGAAATTGTGATTTATCTTTGGTGATAGGTAAACAAGTAAACAGGCAACGGCAATCTAAATATTCTAGTGCAGATTGATACAATTAATAATTTCGGTTAGGTGCTTCCTTGCGGGCGCCTGTGGGTTAGTATCTATCACTCTCCAGCTAAAGCTCTAGAAGGGATGCGGCGTCGGCCACCTCCGCTGCTAGGCGTACAGGTATCGGGGCAAAAACGGGGATGTCGGCGGTGGTCTTATTCTTGGCCACTTGTGCCCCATACCGAAGCTTATAGTAAAGATAATGTATCACCACTCCCATCACATCAGAAGAAATGTCGAGCTTTATGGGGCCTTCCTGGTCAACCCTTTTAAAGTATGGGCTCTGGAGGTAGGCCCTCTTAGATATAAAGTGTCTTCCACCGTCTTTATCGTGAAGCTCCCTGTATTGTTCTTGTGTAGGATCAATGGGAAACGGATATTCCACGGCAAATCCCCCAGATCTTCCTGACGGCACAAGTTTTTGTCCTGCATGTTTCATTTTTGTTATAGAATTTATTATAGAATACTCACTCAGCTTTCAGCCGCGCAAGAAGCTGGCCCAGAGCCGCATTTTGTATGGGTCCCTTGTTTAACCGGTTGACAATCTGTTGCACCTTTTCATTCACGAGCACCCTAGGGTCCTTTTCACTTGCCTCTGCTATAGCGGTCAACAAAGCCACCAGTGTATTTGTTTCTATTCTAGAAGAAGTAACGATATAAGTATGCGTGCATGACACAGGATCTAGCTGCGTATATCTTTTCAGTAATAGGTCAGTGACAGGTCCACAATCAACTTCAAGACTCAGCCGAAGGGTATACTCCATCAGCTTGGTCAAAAGCTCCAGGTGTCCTGTACACTCTATAGTGGCCAGGATAGCTGAGGACATCCCGTTGCATTTATCTTTTCTTATCAGGGATATCTTAGTTGCTATTAGTATTAGTAGTACAGAGTACTGAAACATGATTTGTACCAATGGTATTTCTGACGCAAAAACCTGTAAAGGTGTGGAATTATTTTCTTGCTGCAATCTACCAATCAGTTTAAATATATCTGATATGGAAATAAATGTGAAGGCTTGACCAGTACATCGAGCCGTTTTAACTGGGAGTTGCTCCTGGTTTGGAACCGCTCCCTCAGAGATGATACTGAGGTAGTTCCCCAAGGCCGAGAGCATGCTTACTACTATGTCCAGTTGCTTGTCTGTAGTTGCTGTCCACGATAGCACATGCTGGCAGATAAGCCCAACAAATGTATCCTGTCGTAATATGGAAGTAGCAGGGCGGTTAGAATCCACTGTGCATAGTATCAATCCAACATTCAAATTAATATTTGTCTCTATAAAAGATGATGCTGTAGACAACGTGTTTTGTGAACCATGACGCTGTGAAGATACAGGTAAACAAATAGGGTCTACTAGACCTTGTGGGTCCTCTCTGTGGATGGTGAAAAACGATCTTTTGGTAGGGGGCTCTCGCTCTTCAATTGCGGTGGTCAGTTCTATTAGAATTCTATAGAGGACAATAACATCATATATAGCAATGGGAGTATTCTCTTTACGGTCTTTATTGATAAGGGAAGACTGGCCTGCTATGAATAGCTTGTACAGTGCACACTGTGTGGTATATAACTCGTGTGGCATGAGCCTGCCTATCCCAACCCTGTCGGTATATAACTCTATTATCTCTCTGGCTTGTGAAAACATCTTAGAGTTTGCTTCGGGTGTCTGTGCTTCTGTCTGTATTAAATCATGCACTAGCTCGATAGAATATTCTATTAGAAGCTTTAGGTATTTATTATGCAAGGCGCAAAGGGACAAGTATCTTCTTGTGAGAGCCAAGAGCATAGTTGTAAGAATACTCGTTATCGCTGCACTAGGATTTACCAGAGAACCTCCCACATTGTGCTGGCGAGTAATGTATAGGCCCATGATGGCTGCCAAGACCTCAAAGTCGAACAGCTGAAGATCTTCGTCTACTTCTAGCAAAGTGATCACGTGCTTTGTGAGCTGGATGGCGCTATCTATGTCTTGGCCATATATTAGGACACTTATGAACAAGTAATAGAATTCATATCGTGTTACGCCGTGCTTCCTTGCTAAAACGTTACTGGGCATACTTTTGTCAGTAAACCACTGCTGAATATCTCGGAGAAGGGATGTTGACTGACTAATTAAATTGGCAGAAAGCTCCTTTATTGCTTCTCCGTTATTCTGAGAGGGCGTAGAAAAAGACGATGAGGATCCCTGAGAAGATACTCTGGCCTTACCGCACAGAGCCTCTATCTCTATAAGTGCGCACTGCACTACTAAGATGATGGACCGAGGATTGCTTTTCATACCATGCACAAGCTCAAGCAGCTGTGGGCACGGTATATCGCCTCTGGAAATTAGTGCTGTCAAGAGGTAAAACGAACGGTCATGTAGCATGGCCGTCATTTCTTTGTATTCATTGGTATTACTATTGTCAATATATACTCTGAATATACTTTTCAGTGTTGGCAGAATAGATGTAAGTTCTTGTCGATCTACAGTGTCTCCAGTTAAGATTACAATGTCCAGAACTAAAAGCACAATCTTGGTAGCGTATAGCTGATTGTTCTCTGAAATCTCTGTGGCGTATTTACCATCTTTCGGTTGTGTGGAGCGAAACGGAGACAGGCTACCTTTGTTAATCTCCTCGCGAAATATAAGCAAACCTGTTAGTGTGCGATCTATAATGGCTTTTGCAGCACGAATCGCAGAAGATAGAAAGCCATTTTCTGCCAGGAATGACAGTATATTGGACAGCCCTGCAAACATAACGCCAGCTGGATCCTGAATACAGGAGCATGTATCTAGGGCGTCCTGGATGCTACTATTTATTTGCTGACATGACTCTGCGCGGGCGGGTGCTGGCTTGCTTGTGACTAAGTGCTGGACTGTGCGCTTCACCTTCAAGATTGCATCTGCAAAGGGCCATGGACATAGTTCCTGAGGCTTTGTTATACAGTAGTCAATGCTATAGCCAACAGAGATAGGCGTCTTCATCAGCGTCAGTAGTATAGATGCGTCTGCAAATGTGCGCAATATATTGGCAAGTGACTGCTTTGATGCTGCCTTGAGCTCAAACATCTGCTTGAGGATTCGAAAGACACGGTCAATGAAGGAGATATTTGTTTTATAAAGAGATTGTCTATATGAGCGGATTGCAATCCCATCTAAGATGAGGTTTATAATAGCATCTTGCTGGTCGCCCTTTCTATAGAATGAGGCAGCATATGCAAGGCGATCAAGGAGCACGCTGCTATCCCCTGATTCGTAGACTTGAATGAAAAGGAATTTGAGCTCAACAATATGATACATGAATATCTGCTGCAGAAGCTCTGGTGACCCAGACTTGAACAGAAAGGACGGCTGAAGAACAAGCTTGAATACTGTTGAGAGACAAACCAGTAAATCGTCGTACGTCTTAGAGCTCCATATCTTGCTACTGAATGCCGTGGGTGGTCGACTCCAGTGGTGCCTTATTAGCTGACCGAGCGATCTGAGAGCAACTACGAAGAGCGTAAGACCACGCTGCATATCCATGGTCTCACTTTCAACCTGATACAAGCGAAAGGCCAGCAAATGGAGGGCACAGTATATTTGAGTAAAGTCCTCAGTGGTATCAGTCATCGCGTCAAGCTCTTTATCAAGTTTTATGCAGAGATGCCAAAGGTCAGGCCCCATTTTCGCTGTGTCTTCACTTCGAGTCTCTGCTACTTTATCCAAAAGATCCGTGAGAGTCTCTAGCTTTGGGAGCACTCCTCTTTCTAGTCCAACAATGAGCCCCACCATATTCTCAGAAAAAGAGGACATGCCGTTTTAAGGGTTAAACCCAAGGAGAGAGACACGACATAAATTCACTAAACGTTTACCGCGAGTGGCTAATGTCATACGGTTGGAGATAATAAGGAGGATACGTTGCCAAAGTGATGACTGGAAAACTTGACGAAAACCGCCGGTGGATGGCTACCCTGAGCTAGCTTCGTGACATGTATCCAGGTAGACAAGAGGAAAGCACGCTCAGACGCCAGCATCTCTGGACTGTAAGTGGTAAAAAAAGACAGCCTTTCAGTCCAGCAAGGCAACCCAAACGCCTCATTGACAAGTAAAACGCCTGCTGCCGTCAAGGCCGAAGGCTTATACCTATAACTTTCTGGAGTCATGGCGCACATCTGAGTGAGGTAATGCAAGAGAGACTTCTGTTGCATCGTGAATCCTGCGGCATTGCTGAAGAACTTCACGTAGTGATAAGGAGTAATTGTCTCGACATGGAAATTAAGATAGTGTAGTAGGACAATCTCATTTCCGTATAGATCGGTGCTGGTGAAATGGGTATTGTTCTCCCCAAATAGTTTCGATAAAAGTCTAGATCCCGGTAAGATCCCCCACTGGCTTGGCTCTACTTTTTGGGCCACGAACAGAGCCGTCGCAAGAAGGTAGGGGCTCGTTGTTCCTATGTTAATTTGGGTCAAGATGCGGTGCACAATGTCGATTGCCAGATAAATCGCGGTCTCACACATCTTGAGTGCATTAGCACAACGGAGGAGATTGTTGAAAATAAGTCTAATGTCTTCATCTGATAAGCCCTGGACACGCTGGGGATAGTCTGGAGACACTCTATTTATATAGTCCTCTTCGTGATCCAGGTAGAACCTCGAAAGATTGACACACTCACGGTTCACATTCATATTCATAGATACCAATTCATCCCAGGTTATCGACACGTGGCGAATTGTTGGATATAAAGAAGCTTTTGTAATGAAGAAGCAGGATGGGTCCGGGGCAAGAATCTGCTGCGCCTCAAACTTAGTGCCAATATCATCATGAACCAGCTGGTGACTTGGCAATGCAGATGGCTCCAATGCCATTTTGTGTCCTGACTGTGCAAGCGCCCTTTTTAACTTCAATTTTTGTATGTAATTCTCACATTTGCTAATGAAGGAGCCCTGCATTCCACAAAGCCATGTCTTATCAATCACACTATCCACCTGTATCTTTATATGCCATAGATGTAGGTGTCGTGCGCTTTCTAGTGGAAGCCCTATGTACCCGTCTTGCCCCAACAGCTTATGCACCTCGATACATTCCTTTCAGTAATGTATTACGGGGTATTGCGGCCTTCACTCTAACCAAGTAGGTTAAGCTACAGCCTCTATTGATGAAAACTAATGAGTAGCTAGAGATAAAGGCAATTAGATAAGGAGACCTAAACATATAGAGGTGACGCTTGCGTATACTGCACATCCTTGAGTAGTCTGGTACCAAAATGCATCACTAAACTTTGGTTGAGATTGGCGATGAAGAAGCAATTCTCTTTTCAGTTTGCAAAGAAGCGTAGCACACACCTAAAAGTAATGTTGAGAATGCACGCATGTGAATACAAATACCATATTACGGGTCAGAGCTCGGGCACATCAGTGAGAGAACTGTCTCTAGTTCCATTGAAGACGCTCTATTTTTTATCGTAAGAAACTGTAGTCGTGATAACCTTCATAAACTGTTAATATCACACGTTGGACAGAGATTACTCCATGTTCCTGTCAACAATCTGTACAAATTTAAAGCACTATCTCATAGATTCCAAAGGTAATATCTGCAGGTAGTGTGCTCTTCCACAATATAGGGTTTGGTACAATTACTGACAAATCGCTGGGCTATGATACTGGTTACACCTAAGCAAGTGATTTTGGGTTACCTTGACCGCTAATACAGACCTTAAAATTGAGGTTTTTCACTCTTCTCCAAATTGGACGAAATGGCAGGCAGAATCAGATCATATCTTCATATTTTCTCTCCCCAACAACACCATTTCCCTTTGATAGACCCTGGCGCAAGACAGCTTCCTATGGCCTTGGAAATCCCAGAATATATTTGTCCATTGCATATTTGTGATAATAATCCCACTCTTCAATCGCTACACCAATCCGAGCCATGTATTTCACTGGCGTCTGAAGCGGGTGGGACTTATTTATTCGACGGAATCATTACAGACCAGACCGTTTACAGAGCAATGAATAGCGTCTACCTTTATGAACAAGTCGTTCCACCCAATCCCCTGGAGAAACTAGACACTATTGCGTGTGATATTGCAGCCGGCGCTAATGCAGGAGTGTCTCAATTGGTCGTATCGGCCGGACCGGTTGGTTCTGGCCATGGAACAATAGCATTCAGCTGTCTTCAATCTTCAGTCGCTGCAGATAGAGGTTCTGCTTCCAGGATATCCGCAGATCAGAGGTGTGGGACCTGCTCGACTTGCGAGTATCAGGGGTCCTACCAGTCTGCAGATCTCAACCAGTTAATAACCAGTTGTGTAGATGATGCCTTGAAGCAGGTGGGTTCGTCACAACATCATCGCCTACAGACTATGACCCCTGCAAAAGAGCCAATCAGGCGTGAATCCTCACCTACTCCTCAGGGGCTCCTTTGGCGAATACTTAAGCACCTCACCTTTGCTAGCAACAAGAATGACACAGAGTGGCCTAAACTGGCTTGTTTCACTCTCGATAGCGGGCAACAGGTTATGGATCTTCTCGACTATCCCGGAATTACCGAGGCTTATGGGATGGGAGACCATCTCGATATGCAGTCTATAGACTATGTGGATTGTCCAGACAAATCAGTAGAATATCAGATGTATACTGAAAAGTTTGGTGATAGAGCTCAGACCTTCGAAGGAACAGCATATGGAAATGTCCATGACGCAGCTTCAGCCTTCTTAGCGAGTGGAATTGTACAGCCAGGCGCTAAGGACCTTACTCTACCATTCCGCAAAGCCATGTCCATGTCGCAGCACTTCAATCCCTTAAAATCAAGCGTAATAAGCAATTCTAATACATTTACGACAAGTGGCACTGTGCTAGAAAAACGCACTAATGCATCTGGTACACTTCACATCCAATCGCTATACCCAGACGATCCTCAAGACCAATCTGGAAGTAAAACAACCAGATCTCATGTGAGCGAGCTATCGGTTGAGGCTAGAACTTATTTAGGAGCCACTAGCCAATCAGCAATAAGAAAAATGAGGCTTATCTCTACCATATCTACTAAGACACTTATCAAGGCTCTGTCAAAGCCATCACTTGTTACACTCAAAACACATAATGGGCTAATAACACCAGAGTGTATGGGTAAGTCTGGCTTAAGGATACTCAATCTTAACCCGTCATCTCTCTCATTGCTAAAGCGATCTCTCTCTGATCGTAGACGACCAATTTGCACATGGGACGAGCTCATGAGTGTTTCAGATGGCACTGCACAGCGTAGAGGAAGCGAGTTGGAACTTCCGTGTTTACTGAATATCCGGAAGCAAACGGGGTTGCCAAATTATGTTCTTGCTATGGATTCTTGTGGGCCCACAGTAGTGGTCATATACCTTGGTCCTTCACAGGCTTATTCATGCATTATCTTCGTTGACATCTGCACATGCACAACTCAGACACCACTCCAGCAGTTCTCTCTTAAGCCACAATTTAAAACTAGCCTTGAGTCTTTAGCAGCTCTAAAGTCGCTTGTTGATAACCTATCTACTGAAAAACGTGCATCGCAACCGGCAAAAGCATACATGCTTACGCGTTTGATACTAGGTCATGTTCCCAACCTATCACTGTCTTCCAAAGAAGCGAAGCGATCAGTTCAGCATGTACCTACCACGCATCGATTTACATACTTGCAGGATATTTGCAAGTCTACGCAGAAGGCATCTGGTCAGTGTATGTATAGAGAGGCTGATACTGCCTTGGAATCAATAAGTATTTCAGATTCAAATCTGAATGTTGCTGAAGAGCACGATACACTCTCAGATGTCTTAGATAATGATCATATCCACGAAAGCGCTCTTCAACAGATTTCTGACTCTGTAAGTACAGATCTTCCCGGAATTAACTATGCCCCGCGTGATATAACATTTATACACAGCGTGCAGATATGCGAGACGGATGCCAAGAACACACTACAGCAGCTGCGCTTAGCCTCTTCTCTGGACAAAAAAGTGGAGATGGGATTCTATTGGTCTACTCAGCTTTACAATGACGCTATGTGCTTAGCTCGCATAGATCTTCTGCAAAAGGAAGGAGATGATAACCTGTCCAGCATGCCTGTAAGTCATATAAGTGACCAATATGATTCACAATCTGTTGCAGACTGCAAAGAGAACCCTTATGCATCCCATGGCTCCCAAGTGAGTCGCAGCTGCACTGTTGTCAATCTGGTACGACCGGATCAAGGCGATACGCTCGATAGCAATCTAGTTTCAGCTTATGATAAACTGCAAACTAACAAGGAGGATAATTGTGGCGAGTCAACGGTCATGAATTCTGGTCTTCCAACAAGGAAAGAGGAATCTCAATATAAGAGCTTTTCTTCACCAAGCAAAACTGAAGAAACAAAGGATTTCTTACCTAATAGACATCTACCAATCCTGCAATCTCCTAGCGCTCCAGACTCTTCCCAATCTCAAGTCGTCACCACACTATTGCTGCGACTGCACAAATATATAGACAGAGCACAGGCAATGAGGGACGAGATTGATGCCAAAATAACTGCGGGGCTGATATAAAAAATAGAGACCACGGCATGGCACGGAATTTTTCGTGTATTTATACTATCCAGCATACTTTGGCAGACGTTCCGTTTGGGGTGCTCCATCGGATACGCCGTAATTTCGATGATAAACTGTTTTGTGCCCGAGAATTGGAGTACGCTGACACCTGCACCAGTCACCATAAGCTACTAAAACTAGATATAGACCTGCTCCAGAAGTTCAAGCACAACCGGATAGTGCGCGTTCTGGAGGTAATTCACGAAGAAGACGCGGGGGTATACTATGTCATCCAGGAGGATGCTACTGATAAGTATCTGTTGGAGATGCTGCAAGCGGCAAGGGCTGGCCATCCACCCGCCGAGGAGATGATCTGGGGGTATATAGCTCAACTGGCTGAGGTTCTGTCAGTCATGCACAATACATCATACCAGGTCGATGAGGAGGGCAGTGTTCCTGTGGTACTAGTACATGGAAACCTAGCTACAGACATTGTGCATACAGATCCGGGAGACCTGCACATTATCAAGCTCCAGACGCTTGGTGTAGGGCGAGAGGTTGCATTGGGATGGAATCTTGTAGATACGCGGGGATCGAAGAGCTACATTGCCCCAGAGATTCATAAGCAGGTTATGGATTGTTTTGCTTCGTCTAAACCAGTATATCCTCTTCTGACACCGGAGTGTGATATGTGGTCTCTCGGAGCCTTGGTTTACGAGCTATGCACAGGGACTCCATTGATAAAGCAGAAGACAAAGGATTACCCAGCAGTTCTGGAGGCAATTCAGCGCCCCATTACGCTTCCGAAATATGGGGAAGAGCTGGCACATTTAGTCAACAGCCTCCTGGACCCCAACCCCACTAGACGGCCATCGGCATCTCAAGTCCTGGCACTCCCGTTGGTCCAGGAGATGCTACGTAAGCTTTCCACCAAGTGAATTGCCAAGTTCCACTTGTTCTCATTTACACGCGTTCTCTAGCACATTGGCAGTACCAACTCGGGCCTTGTTTCTGCAAGCAAAACCTTGAATTCGTCGTAGTCCAGTTCCTCCGGAATGACTATCTTCTTGGTTTGAACGGTTAAAGAGGCAGAGAGCCTTCTTTCTATCTGCGCCCTAATAATAGAGTCAAGGTTGATCTGCATATCAAATTTGGCAACCACTTCCTTGAGCGAGGCTAGAGGAATCTTACCCGATTTATCATATGCACCGCCTAATGCCTGCCAAGCGCTGAGAACATCTTGGTCGTCATCTGACCCAGAGCCCCGCGTTTTCTGATGCTGTATGATTCGCAAGAGCTCCTGAAAAGAAAGAAGACCGTCAGAGTTAACATCTGCGTCGGCTATCATGGTAAAAAGCTCCTCGTCAGTAGGTTCGAGTCCAATGGCTTGAAGAATTTCTCTTATGCGCCACATATCAACCGTCCCTGTGTTGGAGGTGTCAAATGTTTCAAAAACTTCTCGACATCTGTTGATCTCGTTAGGATTCATTGAGCAGAAACAGTCTAGGGCTCAGAATCTGAGAACTCAATTAAAATGTGACGCCAAGAGAAATTAAAAATGGATGCAGGCCAGTGCCGCCGTTCTCTTTACCCGCGACGGCTACATTCTTCAGGTTGCAGTCAGCCCACAGCTAGAGCCTACTTTGCCCGCGGATGAGTTTATTTCCATAGCACGCTTTGCTTCATTTCTTCTTATTTCAGGAGAGTCTCGCGTGACAAATGCAAGGATTCGCAAGTACTATGCCATTGTATCATCTATAGGCCACGTAGGATGTGTGCTATTATACATATCTCCACTAGCAACAGATGCCGTCCAGTATGCCTTGGTCCAATCGGTATTCCTTTTGTCAATGGTTCATCACTACTCTGGCCCTACCATCATCAGTATATCTGAGTACATTGAGTACTTCAATTCTCAGTATGAGCAGAAGATGACTGCGTCTCAACCTTCTGAGGCACTCGGCTCTGAGAGCGTTTTGAGTCTGAGTACCGCATCAACTATTCAACCATTGTCTTCTCCTGTGAGAAGATTTTACACTTGTCAGCCCATCTATCCCAAGATACGGAAACATTTCAGGCACGAAACTTTGGATTACTTTACTCGTTTAGCCTTCCTTACCTGCCTAACCCCGCCTCGCTCGGCCAGGAATTTGTTGTGTCAAAGAAATGTCCATGACAAAGAACTTTTTATTCTTAACTTATCGTCTTGTCTTGGTCTTGTTTACGTGGTGTTGCCATATTCGGCGTCCCGGAGTGGGTGTATTCTGAGGCTTGTAGGTGAGAGACTGAAGTGGACTCTCCAACAGAATCCAGGACTCAGCGCGGAGATAGGTTATTTGTGCTGTCTTTCTAGTCAGGTCAGCTGGTGTTATCAGGACAACCCTACTGATGAAGCTGGTCTTGTGCCTTCCACAGCCTACTTGTGCAACTCTTATCAGCTGGTCACCCAGCCCTGTCGGTTTGTAGGGCCATCATTATTGGATAATGACGAGTCGACCGATAACCAGCCGCCATGCTCATTTTATCTTTGCTTGGCTGCACTTTTGACGCGAGAGTCACTAAAGGATGTGGAGATTTTAGAATACGTTACAGCAACATCGGCCAGACTTCAACTCACACCTTTTGAAACGCATAAGCAGTTATTTCAACTTGCTATTATGTTGTGCCATCCGTTCCACGACGAGGCCCGAGCGATCAAAGAGAGGCCAGAACGAGTGCCTACAGCTTCCGCAGTCACAGTCATTCCTACGCAGCCCCCACTCTTTGCGAAGAAGGCCGTCTCTGGGACCATTGCGCTAGGATCGACAATACCTCATGGAGCGAATAAGAAATCAAGCTCGGAGTTGACTGTGAATAGCAAAGGAAGCAGGGTCAGCATCGTAGGCATCAGTGACTCATCCAACAGCACCGGTTCAAACATACGATTTACTACAGATGACGAGAAGGTCACGGCGGCCAAGCCTCTTAAAGTTCCTCGACACCGCTAGTATCTTCCTCATATTCAGTATCGCTCTCGCTCTCGTCGCGCGCTTCTTCAGCATTTACATATATTGCTGGACAGATGCTTGGTAAGTTTTCCAAAACACTATTGAGATTTTTGTCGAGGTCCTGTGATGGATAAACCGTGTATGCAATGGATCCATTAACAATTAATTTAAATAGCTCCATTCCTGCTCTGTTTATGTTGGGGGTTAAGCCTTTAGAAAAGTAGCTCCACATATATGCATAGAGCTCTAGAATCTCTCCAGGAGAGTCAGGCTTCTTCTGATTCAGTTCAGGGTACCGTGTATACAGTGAATCTAAGTTTAGTCGCTCAACAATGTCCTCCTTGAATCCCGGGACACACTCAACAAGCAGTCGCAGAGGGGTGAGAAACTCCCTCGTTCGCGCTAGCGGGAAGACACCAGTTATGACCTGCAGAGGCCTAGGAGACCCCTTAACTGCAAACACAAGTCCAGGGCAATCACAGAGCACAAATGAACGATCTGTCTCTCCCTCCACCACACCGCTGAGGGGCAAATAATGCGTCTGGAGATGCTTTGTATGACCAGGGGTAAGCTTTACGCTCACAACTTTCTTCCCATAAATCCCGTTGATGAGGCTGCTCTTTCCAACGGATGGCTGGCCAAAGAAGCCAATGGTGATCCTCTTTGGAGTGGAGATACCCGAAAGAGCTCTAGATGCGGAAACAAAGGCCTCCATGAAGTGCTTATGCTCTTCCTTGTTTTCTTTCAGAAGCATAGAGTTGCAAGTCATGATAGCAAATTGCTTTTGTCCGTTAACCTCTTCCAGAACAGCCCCTACATATTTGTTCAGAAATGCAACCCAAGCATCAACGCTGTCTTTTTCCGCTAGGTCTATTTTGTTTAGGACAATGATGACTGGACGAACACAGATTTTAGCATAGCGAAGTATGCTGACAGGAAGATGGGCAAGCGGGAACCGAGCATCGACGACGATGCACATCAAATTTGAGCGTTCAGTAACACGCCAGACCTGTCTATAGACGTTTTCGTTACACTCAAATACGCAATACTCCGTGGCTATAACATCCAAATCAGGGGAAATACCCTTGAAAAAGGCCTCAAACACTGCGGTTTCTGCTTGCAGTAACTCATCCTTTGACATTTTTAACACGCCTTCGGGTCTTCTTGGTATGTCTGCACAGCAGGAAGGAAGAAGATAAACGTGCTGATCCAGAGAAAAGGAGTCGCCTGTGGTATTGAAGGGAACATAAGCAGCTTCCTTGTTCTTCTGAACAACTGCATCAGAGTCGTTAATGAACCGGAGAAAGAAGTGTGAGGGGTCCTGCTTTGCCTTTGTTGAGGGGAGCTTCTTTTGTTCCCTAGAAGTAGCGTCATGCTCTTTTGCTATATTCGCTTGTCGTTTCTCCTTAAGTTGCTCCTTTTTCTGTTTGTGAGAAAAGGGCTTACGTCTAGCAGGCATAAATCTATTTTTAATCTTGATTTTTTGTGCACGCTTACTCATCCTTTAATAAAGCTTCAGACAGCAGCCAAAAGCTCCAATGCTAACTTCTAAAGATCTCACCCGGAGAATCTAAGTCAAGGAAGGTCTCCAGACAAGTTCGTGCATGTCGCTCGTGACTGATAAGGGGATTATCAAGGTCGTCAATAATGGTACGACAGAATACGTCTATAAGCAATGCAAAGTAGCCCTGCTTGCGAATAAACTCACTGTCCAGTGATCGCTTGACCACAGCAGGAAGCCAGGTGACAAATCGGTACATGACTTTTGGAGTTAGATGGGCTTTAGATGCGTATAGCTCGCTAAGGTTTTTAATAAAGCTGCTTCCAATCTCTATAGCATGATCATACGCGCTGCGACCTTTGTTATCTGTGAGAGTGAGTTCCTCTGCGAGGTAGGGAAATGCAAATGCATTCTCGTGTCTGACTGCGTAGATGAGGGCTGTGAGGCCCTGGTTGTCTTTCGCTGTAACCTCCGCGCCTGACAAAAAGTTTATGCACGGTCTCATGGTGTTAGCTGGAAGGGTCCCAACGGATGCTGCATGCATAAGCGCAGTCTGGCCCTTGAGGTCTACCATGTGCGCTTCATGCGGAAGAAGACAGCTAAGTCCCACGATATTACCGTTCATAGCCGCGTACATTAACGCGGTATAGCCTTCTCGTGTGGCTTGCCTTGCCTGCAGAGGTAAAAGAATTCTTACTATGTCATTGTGCCAATTCTTTGCGGCGATCATCATGCAGCTCATATTGTCTTCAGTTTTACGGAGCTTTGCTTCCTGTCCCATGAGTATCTTCACTATCTCTGTGTGACCTAACATGCTAGCGGTCCAGAGAGCAGTGGTTCCGTCTCGCCTCGTCATCTGCGCCTCTGCAGCCAATAATAAACGCGTCGCCTCGCGATTGTCGTACTGTGCGGCAAACATTAGAGCTGTTTCACCAGTTGTAGTGGTCATTTTTCCTTCACGACTGATCAGTAGGGGTATTGCAAAATTAAGTCCGCGCTCTACGGCCATCATAAGTGCCGTCTTACGGTGACTATCTGCGCGACCAGCTTGCACAGGTGCGAGTATTTTTACTGCGGCTTCACAGCCTGCACAGATAGCAGCCATTAGTGGTGTCGTTCCATCATCTAAGCAGCAGTCGCCTTCATACTTTAGTAGCTCCTTAAGTACTTCGTTTCCTTCTCTGCGTGCGCATATGATTATGGCGGTTTCTCCAGTTTTTGTCCTAGCCCGAAGTTCTTTGAATCCAACCCTGGCATACTCTTCTGGTCTTTGATAGACAACGCCCCTGGCGTGCTTTTCATAGTCCATGTGTATGATCTGCTTAGCAATGCTCATGTGTCCACACTCAATGGCATACATTAAAGCTGTCTTTCCAGAATTTTCTGCTATGCCTACCTCTCGAGATAGCAACAGATCCACAACCTTCAAGCTGTTCGCTTGTAGTGCCAAGATGAGGGCAGTGCAGCCAGAGTAGTCTTGCTGACCTATTTCATTCGTAATCAATATCACTACCGACTCGACTGCGTTTGACTCTGCAGCCATCATCAGAGCCGTCCGGCCCATGTCATCCATTCGTCTAGACTGACCTTTAAACAACATCTGTACGATCTCCTTGTGATTAAGTTTAGAGGCAATCATAAGAGCAGATGTACCCGCTAATGTATTCATATTTATTTCTAATTCCATCAATCGTTGGACAATATCTGTGTATCCTTTTTCTGCTGCAATATGCATTGCAGTCAATCCGTCTTTGCGTTGCGTACCACCCTCTCTCTCTAAAAGCAAGTCGGCTGCATCTGGGTGACCATACATTAGTGCATACATCAGTGCCGTAGTACCATCAACATCCACCATTCGCGATTCATAATCCAGGAGTTCTTTAATCAGCTTAAGATTTCCCAGTCGTGCCGCCTCCATGAGAGCAGTTAGCCCGGTAAGATCTGTTTTCTTCCGCTCGCTAGGTAGCAAGGTAAAAGCACAGCTTATGGCATTCTTAGCAATGGCCTTCATTAGAGCTGTCTTTCCTTCCTTGTCCTGTCTGCCTAACTCAGACTTTAGGGCCCCGCATAGTGTGTCGAAACCAGCTTCTGCCGCATACATAAGGGCTGTGCATCCATTTATATCTGCACGTCCAGCCTCCTTGTCAACAAGTAGCAGTGCTGCGCTTTGGTGACCCGCAAGAATCGCCTTAATAAGAGCTGTTCTCCCGTCCTTATCTACACATGAAGATTCTACAGACAAAAGAGAAGGAATTATCTTCTCGTGATTTCGTTCTGCAGCCCTCATAAGTGCTGTGCAGCCATCACGATCCTGAATGCGCAGTTCGCTTTTTAAAGCGTCAACACTTCCCTTGTCATTAGTTTCTGCAGCTCGCATTAGTGCTGTTCGACCTTTCTTGTCTCGAATCATTGCCTCCTCCATCAATGCAAACGCAGCACGTGTATGCCCATTTTGTGTAGCATACATCAGTGCTGTCTGAGATTCAGCATCCTTCATCAGCTTCTCCCTTGGAAAGAGAAGCTTCACTGCCTCCGTATTTCCAGAGCGAGCTGCATACATTAACGCAGTCATGCCGTTCTTATCCTGGATACCTGCCTCCTTGTCTATGAGCGCGCGAACTGCAGAAATATCTCCATTGTCACTGGATATCATCAAAGCTGTGACACCATCTATATTTTGCAACCCTGCCTGCATAAGGACCAATTTTAGAACTATTTCCGTATGTTTGTGCATGGCCGCTATATGCATTGCGCTATTTTGCTTAATGTCTGTATATTCAATCTGGTAAGGATAAAGAAGATCTACTATATTAGAGTATCCCTTTTCTGCAGCAATTAGTATGGAAACAAAATTGTTCTTGTCCTGATTTGCAACTTCGCCCTCATGGTCGCCGTGTGCGATAAGATATTCAACTAGCTTATAATTTCCTTTCTCTGCTGCAAAGTATGTGGCTGTGGCACCCTTTTTATTACACATTTTGGCTTCACCATCAATAGCTAGCTTCACACCCTCTAGGGATCCCCTGCTGGCAGCTATCATGAGTGATGTAGTCCCGTCTGTTTTCTGCATCCCTATTTCGCGCTCCCGCAGCATCTCTGCTATCTTTCGATTCTCGTTTTCAACAGCTAGCATGAATGCTGTGGTGCCGTCGTGTGCTCGTCGACCAGCTTGTGTTATGAAGAGAGCTTCAGCTGCGTTAAAACGATTATCCTTTGTCGCATACATTAGCGCAGTCATCCCTATGTCATCCTTCAGATCCTCTTCATCATCAAGAAGCTTAAGCACAAGATGGTATTGATTCTGTTTTGCAGCTAACATCAATGCGCTGGCACCATCGTTCCGTTGCCGTCCTTTTTCGTAAGGGAGTAGCAATTCAGCGATTCCTGTACGAGAAGCTTCGATAGCTAGCATCAAGGCGGTTGATCCATTGCTGTCGACCCGATTGGCTTCAAAATCCTTAAGTATATTAACTGTCTTTTCATCTGCGTACTTTACCGCTAACATAAGTGCAGTGTAACCCTGGGAACTCACGGCACCGGCTTCATGTTCAAGTAAAATAGAGACCATCTGCGTATCTGAATGACAGGCAGCGACCATAAGCCCTGTCTCTCCTTTCTCGTTTTTAGTGGTCCTCATACTTTTGACACTTAACTTCACCACCTCATATCGTCCGGTGCTTATAGCATGAAACCACTCGGCTGCAGTAAAAACAGCTGTCATGATATATTTTTGAAATTTGACCCAATAGTTCTGCCTTAGGGCAACTACGAGCCTTTAAAGCACTATTGTAATTCATCACCATACATGCTTCAGAAAAGCACATGTATCGTCATCTGTATTTCCATTAATTTCTACTCTGGACTGCAGCCAACCTAACTAGCCTGAAGAAAAGTTGCTTGCATAAATCGCCTTTAAGGTAATTATATGTTAATGTTTCGAAGAGTATTTACTTGTCCACACACTAATACAATGATAGAGACACAAGCTATCGAAAAGATTACAGATTGCAAGTTTGCATAATAGTTAGCGCATTTCAAGAAGTCAAAACAGATACCGAAGAGCATAGATACACATCAGGGAATATAATTTGACTGAGGTTACCAACAGCAAGATTAAGTTTAGGATTTTCGTGGAACTAGATGTATTGTTCTGCAGTTTGAGCTTAACTGTGCATTCTCTCTTAGTTAACTAAAGTAGAGCAAACCAACATCTATACAAAATCCAAACTCAAAGCACATTGGCAGATATCCGTATTTACAACAAACCTTCTGGATTCAAAGGCTAACGTTAGCACTTTCTTCACACTATAATAGAGTAAGACCCAGCTGTCATCTGTTATCAATTGCATCATATTCCACCGCCCTCGATGTCTGCATGCTATTAGGATTGTTGTCCGCTACCTACTATGCTCCCCATAGTACTTTCGACATTTCTCTCTCAGTGGCGCAAAGGCCACCACCCAGTGATCGCGGATACTACACATTCAAATGGGACGATAGATCGCGTTATTGTCATGCAACAATACTATCTTTAAGGTTGCTACATCTTCACATAAAGGCTTAGTTGTGGGGTGCGCTCCTCCAAGGCTACAAATTCAGACAGAGGCTTCTTCCTGTGGTGGCGTTGAGAAGAGAATTCACCGCCGCCCTGCACGCATGCCTCAGTGCATGCGGACGGGGAGGCCCCGGAGGCGGGCGACGCGGCGCGAGAGCAGGGCGACCTCGGCGTCGAGCTCGCAGACCTGGGCCCGGCGGCGGCGGATGAGCGCGTCGGCCTCGAAGGGCGAGAGGCCCAGGGCGGTCCCGGCCGGGAAGAGCGCCTGCCAGCGGGCCCCGGGGGAGGGCGGCATCGGGCGCTGCTGCGGGGCGTCCGGGGACGGGGGCGGGGCCGGCGCCTCCCGGAGCCCGGCGAGCACGGACAGGGCGTCGCGCGCGAACTCGTGCCCGAGGCGCTCCGGGGGCGGGACGTTCGGGTAGCCGGCGTCCGTGCAGCGGCGGAGCAGGTGCAGCAGCCCGCGCACCTCCCCGAGGCCCCCCGGGCCGGCCGCGCACCGGGCGAGGGCGTCGGCGAGCTCCAGGTACGCCTGCTCGGCGCTGGCCATCGCTGTTTAATAAATGAGTGTGGCCGGGCCCCTGCGCCGGGCTGGCGCTCGGGGGCGTCGGCGGGCTCTGGGAGGGCCGACTCTGCCCCGGGCCCCGGAGCCTTAAGTGCCCTCCGCGGGCAAGGACTGCCCGAAATTATTCGGGGAAGGCGTTTACAGGCGGTCCCCCTGGTCCTCCTCCAGGACGACGGCGGAGACGCCCCCGAACTGCTGGCAGAACGCGAGCATGTGGTAGAGGAGGGGGATCTCGTTGTTGATCGCGTCGGGCGACAGGCCGAGGGTCCGGATCAGGTACTCCCGGCTGACGGGGAGCGTCGGGATCCCCGCCTCGACCTCGAGGGTGCCGGCGGTGGAGTGGAGGCCCATGAAGCGGAAGAACTCCGTGATGAGCTCCAGGATCACGTACGTCTCGCCCTCGGGCTGCGGGGGCGGGCTGGCCTTGTGGCCCTCGAGCGCGCGGAGGACGGACTCGCGGACCTTCGCCTGCAGGACCGCGAGCTCGCCCCGCTGCTTCATGTTCTGGAGGATGATGCTCTTGATCTCGTCCATGGCCCGGGTCTTTATTTTTATCCCGGCCCGGGGCTGCCCGCGGGCTGCACTTTCGGGGCTTGAATAGACACTCAATAGGCCACCGAGTAGCGCAAGATAGGTCTCATAATTGTACTAGCATCAAAGTAGACTATTGGTCTTCAGGCTAATTCATATGCAAACTTTCACGCCTATATCTCCTTCTACTCCTAATAGGATCCTCGAACCCATTAGATTATGCATATAAAAGGATGTGCTTCTCCAATAGGGATGAGACAACTAGAAGTATCAACGTCCATTGTGGCTACAACACACGTAGAAGAACCAAGGGATTAGTAAGCTTGGCAGCCTACGCATATAACAACCGTTAGTCATGATAATTTCAGAGAATTCTTACTGGATGTGAAGGAGGTGACCAGAATAAGGGTGACGTGATTAATCTTCTGGTGGCAGCAATTATAATGATCGATAGTGCGCTAGGCTGCGGCAGAGCAGAAGGCCACGCCGGGCGCCGTGATGTCGTTGGCAGCATTCTGCTTTGCAGCGAGTGCCATTGTGGCGACTGAGCCTCTGTTTGCAACCAGAGCAGCCGGGCTATCTGGAGCGATACATGCAGAAAAAAGCCTCACCAATGTCGTTGCGCCACGTAGTTCCGCCGCAGCCACACCGTTAATCCTGTCGGTTACGGCCTGCACAGCAGAGAGTCGGCGCCGGTCAACTTGCGCGCCCGCTTGCATGTGAGAAGCACCTGGAAAGTGTCGCTCGCTGTAAGAAGCCTGGGGAAGGCCGCCGGGCCAGCGGGGGCAGCCACGGATTGACCGACGAAGCGGCTCGATGGGCTGGGAATGCGCATGCGTCAGCCCTCAGATTCTCCAGCAGCGGAAGGCAAGCGCTGAAAGGCTCTCCGCAGCCCTTGCCAAAGCCCAGCAGCATGCACAGCAGCGCTGTACCACACGCATAAACGCTCAGAAACGGAGCTGCGCCGGTGCCCAGGGGAGCGGTCAAGACGTCCCGCACAGTGTCTACGCCCCCGGTGACACAGAGCTCCGCAAGGGCTGCTCCGAATGTGGTGGCGTCGAGTAAATGCGCGCACACAAGACACAGCAGCAGCCTCGTTGTAGGCCAGTTGAGGACGCACTCGCTGCTCCACCCCGAGCTGTAGGTCTGACAGCAGGACGATCCGCTCCAGCCTCTCGGGCCCCTCCCCTGCTGTGCGCGTTGCAAGGCTCGCTGCGAAGGCACACGAGGCAGGGCCGCGCCGTGCATCCTCGAGCAGGCCGTCACTCAGCGCCAGCAGCTCCGCGTCCTGCACGACGCCGCCGGTGGCGTGGTAGTTCGCCATCAGGGAGCGCAACGAAGACGCAAGCATGAGCCCTCCTCGGCAGCCTCTCCGGTTGTCCGCCTGTCCGGGAATTATTCTTGCCAAATTGCATACGATTGCATTTTGAGATTTCGTCTCCTTCCGTGGTGGACTGGAGCTTCAGCGTAGCGTCGTGTCTCCCGGGCCCGTCCACGCAGTGGCAGGCTACAGAGCCCGTTTGGCTGTCGCACAATGTACTGGCCTACCGGGCACGCTGGGCAGCATCTTAGCGCCTCCGACGACGAGGAGCCACTGGCCCTGGACTGCACCACTAGGTCGCCTATCGGGCACGCGCATGCTTCTTTCCGGATCCCGTCCATCCAGCTGCCAGCCCCGGAGGCGGAGCAGGTCGGGAGGCACCCTTCTGGCGAGAGCACGACAGGCAGCAAGGGCCAGCAGCCTTGCCATGGTCGCCCTCCTCGGCAGAGAGCCCGGCCCATCGCCCACTCCCCGCGGCCTCCGAAGAGTCCTCGCCTCCTGGTCCACCGGTCCGCATGCGTATCTACTTGCCACGTTATAGTAGCGAAGCCCCTCACCTGTCTGGCTATTCTTCACTCGACGTGGAAGGTGTTTACATGCGTAATGCACCGGCCGTGGACCAAATCTTAAGTTTATGGCGCCCAGGGCGTCGTCGCCGGCGGAGGCTCCCTCCTTTCCGCCTGTGTCCTCTGCGCTGCAGATGCTTGTGCGGCCGCCTGTTCCAGCGTCAACCGGCGGGCATGACCCCGGTGGGGCGAGTCGTCTCCGAGAGGGACGCAGAGCCTGCGACCTGCGTTCTAGGCTGGGCCTTCTTCTGGGCCAGGCTGACGCGATGTCGGGGAGAAGCCGAGTGGGCCCGGAGACGCACTGCGCAAGGCTCCACCAGCTTCTAGCGCGGCTCGCAAGGCTGCAGGAAACAGACCGCTTGCTGGACGCCATTGAGTGTTCGAGTGCCTGCATGGCACAGATCAGCGACCTGGCCTGCCTCCGGTGCCTTCTTCGCGCACACTCCGCCCTAAGCATATCCCCGCCTCCGGCTGGCCGTGGCGTCTCTCTAGAGAGGCAGCGGCAGTGCATAGCGTCGTCCATCTGTGAGCACTTTTCAGCAGGAATCCGAGGGGCGCTGGACAGGATCCTTGCTTCGCGCCTCCGCGCCTGCCACGAGACGCGCGCTCAAGCGCATCTTACAAAGCCAGAGGCCTCCGACCAGCTGGCTAGCCTCCTGTCCGGCCTCCGTGTGGAGGATGCTGCCCCCATTTCGGCGCACTGGAGCGACCAGCTCTTCTACACGGCTCTCTGCCGCGAAGCAGCCGTTGTCTGCGAGTCCCTGTCTTCACTCGCCCTTTCGGTGTCGGAACAGGTTAGGCGCCGTATGCACCTGGGCGACAGCGGACCCTTGACTGCGCTGCTCCACGCCGCGAGGTCTTTCGTTTCTGCGTGCGAGCACGCCTTTTCTGTGTCCTTCCCGACTGGGCTGATGAGTGAGAGCGGAGAGGCAGGCCTTTTGCTGAGCGGGATCGAAGAGACGGGGCCCTACTTTTCTGCGCGATTGAAGCTGGCCCGAGCAAGGGAGCGGCCTCGTTTAATCGGGCGGCTGTTCGGTCGGTCCGCTGCGTCCCCCATCGAGGCATATGTAGAGCGTATTCGTCAAAACTTCAGCGGCCCTGCAGCATGGGCTCCCCCCTACCCAGAGCCGGGCCAGAGCCTTATGTCTGACAGCTCTGCTGCGAGGCGGTGGCACACTACCGGCGCAGGCCAGCTCTTCGTCGACTTCCTTGTTTTGTTTCTGGGGTCAATCTTTGATGCATTTACTCTCGGGGATCAGATTGCAACCTTCCCCTCTATAGGCCTGTATCTCAGCAACAATCCAGTGGCGGAGGAAGGCGGGCTATTCGCACGGGTCTTCGCTACATACTCAGGAATGGTTGCCAGTGAAGCAGGGAGTCTAAGGGCTATCGAGTAGAGCCATTACTCTGTCCCGACGAGCCGATCCCGCCTGCCACTCGTCGCCCGTGCAGCACTGTCCCTCCGGGCACACGACAAGGCGCCTCGTGTGCGACCAGGCCAGCGGGCTCCCCCCTGGGGCAGCCCTCGGAGTGGGAGTCTCAGAGAGGAGGCCGCCGGGGCACCCCCACCCGCTGCGCGCAATCCGGTCCACACCACAGCCTCTCTACTGATACCCCTGTTCGTGGTGAGCGCGCTTGCAGTAACCTGCCAGACCGGCAAGTGCGAGACGGTCGGATCAGCCGAGATTTGCACCCAGTGCAGGGCCGGGGGCGTCCCGGTCGACGGCTTCTGCTGGCCCCCCGGCTCCCCCCAGGCCGCGGCAGCCGGGTGCACCGAGGAAGACGGGGCTACCCTCGACAAGACGGCAACCACCTGCGGGAAGTGCGGCGACGGGTACTTCCTCTTCATGGGAGGGTGCTACAAGGTAGGACAAGATCCTGGCAGTGAGATATGCACAACAGCCAGTGATGGAGTGTGTACTACTTGTAAGACAGATAACGGCCTGTTCAAGAACCCGGCTACAGCACCGAAGCCTGGTAGTGAGTGCATCCTGTGCTCTGATATCAAGGGAGCAGATGGATATACGGGAGTAGAGAACTGCGCACAGTGTACCAAGTCAGACAGTAACAAGGGGGCTGCCACGTGTACAGAATGCCAAGATGGATATTATAAAGATGCTAAAGGCGCATGTGTACAATGCCAGGGGAACTGCGCCACTTGTGAGACATCGGCGACCCAGTGTACCTCTTGTAAAGCGGGCTTCTATCTGAAGGACGGCAATAGCTGTGTGGCAGAAGGAGAATGCACAAACACCGTTTATCCTGACCCAGAGTCGGGGAAGTGCAAGGCATGTAGTACAATAACTGATTGCACAGAATGCTCCTTCGACAAGGCCACGGGGAAGCCTCAGTGCACAGCCTGCGGTAGTCAGAAGACCCCCAGGACGACCCTTGATGGGACCTCGACCTGCGTCGATAAAACGCTTGACGGGTGCAAGGGCGCTGACGGGGCCTTATTTATGAAGGACGATACCACATGCGCCCTTTGCGGCGATGCGTCCCCTGGCGCTGGCGCAAACGATAAGGGGATTGCCGGGTGTAAGACATGTACTAAGCAGCAAAGTCAGAAACCAGAATGCACAAGTTGTTTGGATGGATACTTCTTTGAACAGTCATCAAAGACTTGTTCGGCTTGTGCCTCCAACTGTGCCACCTGCACGTCAGCTGATGTGTCAACTTGTACTGAGTGCCTTCCTGGGTACTTCCTAAAAACCGAGGGTGAAACGAAGTGTGCTGCATGCGACAGTACACCAGATGGTGGCCGCGAAGGGTGCAGTCTATGTTCTAGCAACGGTGGATTTAAGTGCACTGAATGTAAGCCTAACTATAAGAAGCAGTCCAATGGAGGAGCAGGGGATGACTATACGTGTACAAAGGTGTGTGAAGACCCCACTGCTTGTGGGGGGACAGCTGGCTCTTGTGATGCCATAGTGATCGGTGCTGATGGAAAGGAGCTTCACTATTGCTCATACTGTGGGGAGAGTACTAAGGTACCAATTGATGGCATCTGTGCTACTGATAAGAAAGGTAATACTTGTAACAGTCATACATGTACACAGTGTGCTCAAGGGTACTTCTTATACATGAATGGCTGTTACAAGGTTGGTCAAGAACCAGGTAGTCATATGTGCAAGACAGCAGGTAATACTGGGATATGCACAGAAGCGGCCAACAATAGATACTTCGTAGTCCCAGAGGCAACCAATGCTCAGCAGTCTGTACTAGCATGTGGTAACCCATTAGGCACACTAATAGGTACTCAAGACAATGCTAAGGCATACGTGGGGGTCGAGGGCTGCTCCCAGTGTACAGCCCCAGTAGCTCTGACTGAGGCTGGTATGGCTGCCGCTACATGCACCTCCTGTGACAGTGATAAGAAGCCCAACAAGGATGGCACCGGGTGTGTGCTGTGCTCTGTGGGTGATTGCAAGAGCTGTGTGGTGGATGATGTGTGTGGGGAGTGTGTTGATGGGTACAGTCTAGACAGCAGTGGGACCTCCTGTGTGTCTATGAGTACCAACAGGAGCGGGCTCTCCACGGGGGCCATCGCGGGGATCTCCGTCGCTGTGGTCGTCGTCGTGGGGGGCCTCGTGGGCTTCCTCTGCTGGTGGTTCATATGTAGAGGGAAGGCATGACTCAGGTAGTGAATGCTATACAATGTGTGATAGTGTGTGATAATGGGTGATAGAGGGTGATAGTGGAGTGAGATATGTACAAAGGCCAGTAATGGACTGTGCACTGCTTGTAAGACAGATAACAAGTACATATTCCAGAACAGGGCAGACAAGGTGACCCCTGGTAGTGAGTGCATCCTCTGTCATGATGCCACGGGAGCGAATGAGAACAAAGGAGTGGCCAACTGCCTCAAGTGCACGGCACCTGGTGGCAATACAGGACCTGCCACGTGTACAGAGTGTCAAGCAGGGTTCGTTACGAAGGACAGTGCATGTGAGAAGTGCGGAGAGGGCTGCTCTGCCTGCTCAGAGAGTGATCCAAATCAATGCTCGGCATGCCTTGAGGGGAAGTATCTGAAGGGTAATGCATGTGTAGGACCCACTGAATGTGGTGATGGTAAGTATGCAGATCCAACAACAGGCCAATGCAAGGCATGTGGAATACCTGACTGCGCCACCTGTGAGTACAATGCAACTATTAGTCAACCACAGTGTAAGACCTGCAATAGCAATAAGATGGTGAAGACAGCGGCAGACGGGACGACCACTTGTGTCGATGATGGTGGATGTACAAATGGCAATACGCACTTTGTTGAAGGTACTAGCCCAAAGCTTTGTGTCCCGTGCGGTGATACTACAAATGGTGGGATTCTAGGTTGTAGTACTTGCTCCTCTAAAACTACATGTACAAAGTGCCTCGACGGATATTACGATAATGATGATAGTCAAGATACAGCTACGTGTGTCGCTTGTGGTGGACAAAATTGTGAGACATGTGCTAAGGCTACGA